TGTGTGTGTGTGTGAGAGAGAGAGAGAGAGAGAGAGAGGGAGAGAGAGAGAGAGAGTGACGCACACAGCTTGCTAGCACCTGACGTAAGAAAAGATTTTCATCTTAGAATCGACGTAACATGACCAAGAACGGCTGCTCGCCCGGTCTTGCCGATGCAGAAGCTATTATTACTGCCCAGGTTTCGTCAAATCGATCAGCTCGGATCCAAATAATTACCGGCTAACAAGCCTGCAGTTCCAAGGCACTGATCGCGCCTGAGAAACAAGAATATGAAAATGGATCAATAGTGATCATGCCATTTTTCTTGCCACCATACAACTATATACCGTACATTATCCAACAACTTTGATCCATTTCCACGATATTATTCACCGTTTGCAGATGTATGTGTAATATCATTTGCAAGTGTAAAACCAGTTGCAATGTTATCACAGATGGTCATCTATCTAACTATCGCCAACACTTCACTGCCCTTCTACTTACATCGTGGAGAATCCAGTATCAGAAATCGAACAGCTTAATCCAGCTGGCGGATATATTGGTGCGAAAGACTAGAAAGAGGTACACAGTGGAGTCCAGACAATTTGCTGGTCAATATAGCTACTATATAGGAACAGAAAGCGTACCTCTATTATTGTACACACACACACACATACAGTACTAGTATCTTACAAACATTACTTCTAGATCAAGTCCTAGATCTTCGCAACCATTTGCGTAGGAGAAAATCCCCCCACCAAAAAGTGAACCCATCAATACCTTATCTTATTAAGAAATAAACAAATAGAAAATGTCAAACACTCATAAAAATCAAAAAGAAAATATTTCAGGCGGAGGTGTTAAGTAACGCGTTTCGAAACGGACCGTTATGATTCTGTTATGGATTTTGCAGCTATGCCGGTAAAGGTTACTATTATATCAATTGAAAGGCCGTGCCATTCTCAGAACAGAAGCCCCGTTACAGAGGCACCAGTGATTTACTCCTGTGGTGCATCCCGTACATGTTACCGATCAATGTCAGGGGCACGGGGAAGTAAATATGACGGAACAGGTGCCTAATGTGAGAAGGAGCGGGTACAACGAAGTAAGAAGTGCTCACAGGTACCAGGTCTAGTAGATAGACTGTGTAGAAATCATATATAGCTATGTTTGTTGTACATATACAAAGAAGGTACATGAAATTAGATATCGAACACATGGAGATTTTTCATCATCAGTAATATTGACAGCCAAAATTAAAGCATACCATACCATCGTATAATTTTCCTGAAATGAAACTTAATTAATTAAAATCTTTTAATATTTACCATGATAAGTACCATGACAATGTCGTAGGTGTAGAATTTCTATGATTAATATACTACACCTGCCGTGTGATAGAGAGAAGGTAACTATAATTGACGTTCAACGACCACTACGTGTTGGTGTTCTGTTTAGTATTACCATATATCAACCCTTAAGTACTTCCTCTCTTTAATCTACTTATCCGCCAGATGATGATGTTATGCAAGGTTAGCCACTAGTAACATTGTAGTTATCCGACACCAGAACATGCCACATGTGTGTGTACAATAGGACTATTCCATCTACATGCTTTTAAGGAGGGGCCGTGCTTTGAGCTTCATATTTCTATCTCCTAAACAATCCAAGTGCGGCTTTTTCAAACACTTCTCTGCCCAAATATACTCTTCGAAAGTCGTATCCTATCTTATTCCTTGCTCCTAGGTCCTCTTGTTATCGCTGTATTTTGTCCCTCCAAGGTCATTCTTAATGGCATAAGTGCCGATTCTAAATCATAACAATAAAAATCATCATCAACCGGTCGATATGTCTGACTTTCAGACTGTGTTGTTGCCATGACGACAGACTGACTGGCGCAGTATCCGGCCGTCTGTTGGACCGTTACGTCGTCCTCCGCTGCTGTGAGGTGTTCCAGTGCCTACCATAGACGGGCCACGCAAAGTCGTCTCCATGTTACCGACAGTGCCTTTCCCGGAGTTGTCCGTCCTCGTGGCGACTGTCGTGGTATGGACATCTCGTACAGTCCAAGGTAGGAAAAAATGGAAGCGCATTTTCTCTTTGCAAAAAGTGTTTCTTGTTTGAAGCTTTAGGCACAGTACGATTATCTTAAAACTTGCTTTCTTTTAGGTTAGAGGCATGTAAACGCTATAAACTGTATTTCCCTATTTCTTGATTCTCTTGTTCATTGAAACCACATTATTTTTACCCCGATATATAATATGCTTTGTTTAGAAAATACGATTGCAATACATCTACTTGCTAATGGTTGCAATTCGTAGGGCCGTGGTCACTCAGCAGTTCATTGTTCCTGTCGAAAAGAGCTAGGCCTCAGAAATTACCCCGTAAAGTGAACCTGTATGTACCGTACTGTTAATATCGTCTGCCTTTCTTGTCACAAAAGGTGGCAGATTGCCTCTTCGGTGAACTGAACAAGTTCGAGATCATTTCCGCTTTTTGATATCGTATTTCTTTGCAGGCAACAACCCTCCGTTCTTCACTATGACACAGCAAGAATGGATATGGACTCTACCAGAGGATACACCAAGAGGTAATCTGGTTATCCGAAGTAAATAAAATAAGTACAAGGAAAACGTCGTTCATTCCAAAGCTTTCTAGCATTTTCCTCTCTCGTAGCGTTTCATAAAGTTATAGTTGTTGGAATATTCTTGCATGATATCTCGGAAAAGTATTTAGAAATGCAGACGACTTTTTGGGAGTTTTTGTTGAAGTTTCCCGTACGCAAAGCCCCCTGGGATTGTTGACCTATTTGACCTCAAGAACAAAATTCCGTCAGCTAGTTCAGGCCACTGACATTTTGCAGTTTTCTTCATTACTTTTACTCTGTATTTGGTTTGTGTTTGTGTGTTCGCAGTTGTATCTCACGGTAGGTTGGACATGTTGAAAAAAATTATTTGATTCTCGGTTTATAGTTGATATTTAGTTCAGAATATGCAGATTGTTTTATTTTCAATGCATCTATGTTTCAGGGTGTTGAAATAAACTATTTGGTGTATGCGGTAATCTGCGAGTTTTACAAAAAATAAAGGGACAATAAATATGCTTATATTTCTGATATACCAGGAACTGCCATAGCCCAGCTGACAGCGATTGACCCTGAGGGAAAGTCCGTTATGTATGGGGTGGAGGGGGAGATCGGACAGAGGTACTTCCTGGTGGACCCCATCACTGGTATAGTGGAACTGTACAGGGAGTTTGATAGAGAGGTAAGGGGCACTGTATGCCTCAGTCACATTAATGAAATATCATATCAATATACTGTAAATTGATCAATTTTTAGCACTCTTAATTAAAATTGTGTGTAACATGTTACGCTTTGAAAATCAAGCTTTTACAGTATTTTGGAGTTTGTAGTTAAAATAACCGTCATAACAAATTTGAAGATATATGTATGAAGAAGTCTGCAGTCCCTACTACATAGTCCAGTATTTCAACCCCCAACCTCTTGGTTCTACATGTGGATAATCAGTCTGTCATCCCTTTAGACCAATTTGTGTTTCTGGAAGCTACTTTTTGAGATGTTAACTAGAATATGCTGCAAAATTTTTACATCAACAATGACATACTACAGCGTTTCCACCATTCCAGGTTGATGATGAATACACAGTCAAGTTCTCCGTTATTGACGATGCACCTGCTAACAAGGTAACAATGTCTTATAGTTATATTTCAGGATTTTTTGTTAGGCTAACGTTGATCCCTAAGATGTGGTCACATACTTCATACGATAGGTCAATGTCAGGAAATTGAGGTTAATGACAGGAAATTGAGGGCATTCCTGAGACAGTCATAGATGTGTTGTACAAAATTTAGCGGTCGTGTGGGAGTAGGTTGCTGTATATCCTTGTCAGTGGTTAGTTCCTATAATAGCCTAACTGAAAATACTCTGACAAATTAAAAAGTCATGCTTAGTCTTATACACCACATAGCTTTAGCATGGGCACTGTCCAGCTCATAATGTTTGTACAAATTGGCAAAAGTCAAGTATTGAAAGATATGATTTGTTTTCTAGATTGTGAATATATGCACTACACTTCAATTGCAACCAATCAAACCACAAACTAACCTATTATATATATATTTATAACCAACCAATCATCTAACCTATCATGTTAACCATCTGTTAACTACAAAAGTTAAATTTGTCCGCTGGTAGGTTGAACACGAGGCCACAATCTACATCACAGATGTTAATGACAACCCACCTACATTTGAAGGGACTCCCTACGAAACTAAAATACCAGAGGTGAGTACTTGTACATGTGCCATAAATAAGTTTTCCTTTCACATATAATCTTCTAATACTAAATCTTGTGAATCATCTCTCAAGACATTTATCAATTATAGTGCTTGAAGTTTAATGGTATGTTTGTGTGTGGATAGTGTTCAGCACCAAGGACAGGCATGTTTGCATGTGTGTGGATAGTGTTCAGCACCAAGGCCAGGCATGTTTACCTGTGTGTGGATAGTGTTCAGCACCAAGGACAGACATGTTTATATGTGTGCGGATAGTGTTTAGCACCAAGGACAGGCATGTTTATATGTGTGTGGATAGTGTTCAGCACCAAGGACAGACATGTTTACTAGTGTATTGCAGGAGTATAACACCAGGCACACTTTGTTAAACACATACAATATAACAGTGCTTAAGCTTCAAATGAACCATGGGAAGAAGGTAAAACGTCCTAGATTACTGTCAATCAGTGTGAACTCCTAAGAATCTGAAAAAGAAGTTATCCCATATTCTGGTAACAAATACATTGATGAATCAGATGTCAATTTGCTGTTGGTTCCATGCATAAAATATTGTACACTTTATATGCTCATAGGTGGTAATTTTTGAAAGACAATTTGTAAGGTCCGATCATTTAACAGTAAAATTTTGATATCAGGAATGCTTGCAAAATATATCTCCACTTGAGTCTTATATACAGTCTTATAAATGCTGACCCAAGCACAGCAACCTTTTGAAAATATCAGTACTGGCCACAAGGCTTCCATTATGCAGGTAGTTTATTGATTTTTGGATAAAACGGCAGGTATTTTTATTGTCCTCATCAAGCCATGCAGTCTGGCTTGATACTACCATCAGCTCTAAACTATATCCAATTTATTTTTACTGTGACCTTTTGAAGTCAGACCAGGCTAACTTTACAGTTAAATTTGGAATGACCTTGTAGCATTATCAAGGCTTCTAAAACATTTGAAAAAGTTATGCTCTAATTGCCTTTGAAATGTATTCAAATCTTAAATTCAAATCCTCATCAACAGAAATGCAAATCTAGGGCCACACAAACTTATTGTGTGGATGGCATTTGAAGTAATGTACTTATCATTATCATTAATTATAATCTTTTCAGTCCTCAGGAAGCAAAAAGATTGTTGATTTGTTTTTCCTTGTCTATGCAGGACTTACCAGTTGGTAGTACAGTGTTCACTGTACAAGCCAGAGATCCGGACAAGGGAGCCGGGGGCACAAACACTTTCTTCTTTGATCCTGTAAGTATTAGACGACTTGAAACTGTATACAAGCAATTGCCATGACTACCAAGGTGGTAGGTGAAAAGCCTACCAATGATTTTCAAATGTCTTCAAATAGTTTGCATGTTCATGATGCATTGCCTGAAAAACAGGTTTTAATGTACCTGAGTATTACTACTGATGAAATGAATAAACTGAAACTGATGTAAACAAAAACAGTGATTGCTGGCATAGGCACATTTACCTGTGTGTGGATGGTGTTCAGCACCAAGGAGAGGCATGTTTACATGTATGCGGATGGTGTTCAGCACCAAGGACAGGCATGTTTACATGTGTGTGGATGGTGTTCAGTACCAAGGACAGGCATATTTACCTGTGTGTGGATGGTGTTCAGCACCAAGGACAAGCATGTTTACATGTGTATGGATGGTGTTCAGCACCAAGGACAAGCATGTTTACCTGCATGTGGGTGGTGTATAACACCACAACATGAATGTGAATTTTTGGCTAAAGATGATATATCATCATTGATAACTGATGTTGTGTTATAACAATTTGTCTACCAGCCGTCTCCCAAGTTCCGGATCAGCAGTGTTGATGGTCATGTGATCCTTATCAGAGCTTTAGACTACGAGGAGAAGAATGTGTACAAGCTCAAAGTTGTTGCCAAGGTAACTGTCAATCATTGTCATTGATGAAGGTTAGACATCCAGGTAGTAAGATACCCAAGTTAACAGTTGCCTAGCAACTGCATAGATTTTGAAAATGGCAGATGTTTAAGGTAGCATCCACTACTAGTATCTTTTGTCATTGACTTTGGAATCATTGCCATTGTATTGTTAGTTTATTGTAGCATTAGCACATTTGGCATCATAATGAAGGTGAATAATATCATTGATAATGTAAAAAAATTGCCTTGCAGAAGATTACTTAAAGGAGGATTTTAATGTTTGAAGAAAAGAGACACAGCTATTAACTGTTAAAATCATGATCATTGTTCTTGACTTCTATTGTTGTCTTAATCCTTTTGTCTTACAAGCCCTGAGTCATTGTAATAAGTGCAGAAACCATTTAGTATTCATGTGCATGAACTGGAGCATGGCTGATTTGCTGGACTCCAGTGGAGTATCGATTCTGTCTTCTTCAACGAGTTATACTTCCTCCAGGCTAACAATACGTAAGGCCGCATCAATTCAATCTGTTGGTTCTCTGATTTAAAGAAATACTATTTGTAGATCAGCATCCAAGTTTAGGCCATGGTATGCACAGTTTCAGCTAGTTACCCTCTTGTTAACTTATAAGTTTAAAATGAAATGGGAAAAAAGGAAATAGATTGGTGTGGCCTTATAGAACTATGCTATGTAGGGCTCTGTGTCTTAGCTCCCTATTTCCACCTGGCAGTTTTAGTGCCCAGCGGGGGATGAGATTACATGTTTTACCATTTGTATGCAGTTTTACTGGCAACCCCATTGGGCACGAAAGGTCACTGTGTGGGTTTTTCCATAGATCAGCTGCCCATGCACAGAGGCAGAAGTAGTGTATATCAGTCAGGCAGTCGGAATAAAAACAATTCACTGTATATTACTGTCTGTACATAATTTTACATGAAAAGATGTAAAACAATCTTATAATTTTGTTTCTCATCTTTCTTCAAGAACTTGTGATTTATGAAATATCTGAGTTTGTTTCAATGTACATGTACGTTGTGTTCATGTATAACAGTGAGGCAGAGAAATTTCAGTCACACTAATTTGGTGAGGCCCAGCAGGCTGCTGAGAATTACTCATTCAGTTGTAGAATGATGTGATATTCCCCGCTTTGCTGCAGATGTAGTACATGCTTGAGTTATGGAGTGTATCTTAATTGCAGAGATGCTCTAATTTTGTTTTTACCAGCGGTATCTTGAATCAATGATACTTATTAGAATTACACAGACATTAAATGGGTTCAACTTGGTACATCCAACTACAAATTATTCCGTCATGTTTGTCTTACCATAGGCTTATAATGTCAAACTGAGAACATTCTAGTGACAGTCATTGATGTGTGCTGCAACATTCAGCTGTGACAAAGAAAAAGTTGTCATAGATCCTTCTTGAGGGTTCCTCTGTCATTGCTTTCCATAGAATTCTATGACAAGAAAAATTATATGATGCATAGTGTACACGTGCATGCACATGTATTTACATGTTCTTACACTAACTCAGGGATGTAGCAAATCTATAACAAGCTACCTGTGATAGGTGGTTCAATCAGATTCTCACACATCATTGTCAAGTCTGCTTCCTTACCTACATGTAACGTTACCAGCTGAAATGTCATGTGGCATTGGCAATGAATAGGTAATGAATAATTCCATTACAGGTGATGATATCCCACCACGTCTGCCGGCAACTGTTAATGCCTCCTAATAAATGAATTATGGGGGTAGGGATGGGAGGGTTGTTAATTTACGAAGTGTGAAATTGCATCCTAGGTTTTGGTGCTACATATAGATGTTAGACTGTTTTATTTCTTCACGTTGTCACAGCAGGGTTGATAATTTGATCAGAATGTTAAAAGCTGCTTCACTGCTTGAGGATTTAGACTATTTATCTTTTTCCTCTGACTTTATTACTTTATGTTAATGAATAGAAGTACATGTATATGAAAAAAAAGAATTGCAGAAAGTAGAATGCAAGGTGAAAATTATGGTTAGTCTAAGACATTAGACTGTATATATGTATGATAACCCCTGTAGTCAGCATTGATATCACACCCTGATATTATACCTCTGCTCAGCTTTTACTATAATACATTTTGTACATTCTAGACTGCTATTTCACTTCACCCTTTTGAAAGAGCTTACTCTTGCACTTTGTTCCTGCTCTCAGACTAATGCTTTCCTCTACTTTCCTGTGCCCTTCTGTGACTTTCCCATGACTCTTCTGTGGCCTCTACTTTTAGAATGTGTTTGAAGAGGTGAGCATTAGGGGTTTCTTCAAGCATGTTTTGAACAATATTCTTTCAATGACTTCAATGACTTAATGCAGTATTATTATGTGACATGAAGAAGTTTTTTAAGTGAGCATGTAGAAAGTACGTATTTTTATATTTCTCAATCAGAGTACAAATCAAAAACTCTTTGCTATCTTCATAACTTACATGTATGAATGGTTTGCATGAGAGGTGTAGTTTAACACTGAAAAGCCTTTTGTGCTATTTACTCTAGAAAGGTAATAATCGTGATATTTATTTTCCATGTATATTCTTTGATTCAAGTGACTGTGGGACACAACAATAATTACTTACAGGATTTCTAAATTCAATTTCCAAAATTTTAAGTTTCTCTTATATTTCACAAACATTTAAAATAAAAAAGGAACAAAAAGAACAAAATCCATTTTGTCTCCTTCAGGATGGAGGTAACCCCTGGTTGTCCACTTCCACCAACCTGGTGATCCAAGTCAAGGATGTCCAAGACTCAGACCCAATCTTCCTTGGCCTGCCTTATGACGCCACCGTTAGTGAAGACGCAGAAGTTGTGAGTCTAGAAAATGATCTTATTCACTTAAGTCTTACCAAGGCCACAATAATTCAATATTCTGGTTATCAGGTAATGCTGCATTGGAAAATCAACATGAAAATTATGTCAAATTTAGACACAGACTTTCCTTTTACTATGTCTTTATTTTTTAGAAAAAATCTATGAAATAAACTAATGTGGCCCATGTTTTGCCTTGGCAAAGAATTTCTTCAAATGTCGAGCTTGTGAAGGTATCTCTTCACAGAAGATTCTTAATACTTAACTTCTTGTTTTCTTTAGGGTCATGTTATAGTAAGGATATCTGCAATGGATCAAGATTCAGGCATTCCGAATGACATCCAGTACAGTATAGTCACAGGTATGCAGAGTGGTTTATCCTTCATATTCATCAAAGTCAGTCAGCTCTTTTATCAGTGATCAAATGCCATAATTATATAAATGATAATGCCATTATTTCCTTTTTTTGGCAAGAAATATTGGGATTGAAGGCACCTGATGTCAATGTTCATCAGAAAAGGCCACCAGGTCTTTTCTACATTTGATGCAAACTTAGATTAAAGGTGTTCCAGTTGGGTCTTATCCAGAAATATCCTGTGTTTATATTTCATGACACACTGGAAATTTCTGCTGTTTTTCTAGCTTTAGCAATTTTTTCATGACAAATGGAGAAATGCAAAATGTATTTGCACCTTTTGCTGTCAATCAGTTGTTTTGTAGAAGATGTAATGATATGTAGGCTGCTTTTTGGTGGAGTCACTCTAATGCATTCAAATTTCATGCAGATTAATTCTTGTACCATCTCTAGCATCCAAATCTTGATAACAATTCTAATTTCATTAAGCAGACATGAATACTCTTAAAGGAATTGTCATGCAGACCCATCCCTTTGCTTAAGCTACAGAGTCTCGTAAAAGTACCCTTAATTATAAAACTAGGTCAAAGCTGTAAATTTTTCCATAGTAAGAAAATACTAAATGCTTGAAATATGTGTCGTTTGAATGAACTGGTATTAAAATCTTCCTAATGTTGCGAATTGTCTTTGTGTAAATGTTTCTTTTCCATGGAAATCAGATTCTTGAGGTTCATCATTTCCAATACTTGACAATGTAATCTACATGGTTCCACTGTGTGTTAATTTGATGACAACCAAGTACTTAGATTTTATCAGTTGTTGCCAACCATTAAGTAAACGACTTTCATTACCACTATTTTTCAAGATCAATTTGCCTTCAATCTTATTTTGTTATGTCCATACATTTGGGCAATCTAATGTAAATGGATAGCTTTTCAGCACCAAGGAGATTATGGAAGATACTAAAGCAAAAACATTTACATAGCGAGCTTTTATTTTTTACACACACTGGAAATCAATAAGATGATGAAATAGAATGATTGGATTTGCTTATTGAGTGAGTGTTAGTGAGTAATGAAAACAGATGTACTTTTTGGGGAGTATAGACTTGTGACTTGTCAGTTTTAAAACAAATAATTTATTGACATGCTGCTTTGACAAGTTGTTTTGAATGTTTTTAAAACAGGAAATGTGGACGGTGTGCTTGACCTTGACGATCTTACTGGTGAACTGAGGGTAGCCAAGGTCATTGACAGGGAGGCAGAAGGTTTCAACCAGGGGCCACTGACCATCACTGTACAGGTACGACAGTTTCCTTCCTTTTCTGTCCTCTCATTCAAGTGAAGAAGATGATGTTGAATGATAAAACCTTAAATGCCCAAATAAGGCAAACATTGGAGCACTGCAGGTGAGTATTGGTGCTTATTGCAATGCTGAATATGACTGATGTAATGTCGGGTCTCATATTTTTACCCTGTATTCTAAGACCCCAACACTAAAATGACAGCATTATCAAGGCCTTCTCAATATTGTCTTAAACACCAGGATATCTGCAGTGTACATGCCTTGGAGATTACTGATTCTGCACTCTTTAGTTGATCTTTTAAGTTCACCCTGTCTTATAGGTTCACAGCAGAATTATGAGTCAGAGTAGACCTTGATTATCAAGACCATTTTGCTGATTTTTTTACAATAAATCCACATGCTGGGTCTGTACAAAAGATGACAGATGTTCTACATGTGCTAGCAAATGTGAATTATTGTTTAAGCTCCCCTCTGTGCCTGGTGCTCTGACCCTGTATGTGTGATACATGGCGCCAATATCCCGGCTATGCCTACCTGTCCTCAGTGCTGGATGGATATTGATAGACGGATTATGTTTACTATCACAGCAGGTAAACCTGTTATGCCTCATCCCCGGGTGTCATACGTCAGTTCTGCTCTAGTTGCCGTTAAGAGTGGTGCAATACGTTCACGGCCGGGGGTGGAAATTAATATTTCACAGGATCAGTCGTGGAGACAGATGCGGCGGCATAAAGTGGTTTAGAGGGTTTTGCAGACACTGCAGGATGCTGTAACACATTTGCACTTTGTTTGGAGAAAAGCATACCAGAGCACATTACAGAACATACCACCACTCTTGAAACATAAACAGAATGAGGAAGCATAATACAATGTATGTTTCATTATCCAGTTATGCATTCCAATGTCACATTTTGCAAAAAATTACTCTAGAAAACGCAATGGCATTCTGTCAACATACTGTAAAATTTATGGTGAAGTAAATGGTTTTTATGTTGATGGGGTTTACATGTAAAACCCCCACAATACCACGATGCTGATCTTTTTAATCATAGCAGAGTGCTTAGTGCATTATATTTGTTGTATTCTTGTAACATAATAAAACAAGTCTGACACACCCCTTAATTAGCACAACAGATTCATCAATTGATTCCTTGCTTTTTTTTATCATAATTTTCTTGTTGCCTCCTAAAAGCTTTCTCCAATTTAAGAGATGAAGAAGAAGACAGAGCCATTTGTAGCAAACCTGCAGCAGTTGATCTTCTGGTCTTTCTTTGTAATATGTCATTAGTATTTGACTCTAGATCTCTGAATAGCACATGTATTTATGAATATAATACCTATTAATCTTTTCTGCAATAAACTGAGGTCAGATTTATCAAAATCCCTTGAAAGTACTCAAATTGGCTAGCTTGCTTTTGGGTATAATCCATCAAAACTGGTGAAATATAGCCTATCTGTAATGGTGGTGACCTCACCACTATTGAATGACTGCTGAGGTTGAAATGGTCCCACGCAGGCTATTTGGTAAATAGGCCCTCATTGTGAAATGGCTTTGTGATTATGGCTTGTGGATTAAACTAAAAAGGCCTAGGTTTGAATGGTGACATTCAAAACATTATGATTCATATCTTTTGTGCAAAACAATCTTTTGAAACATATTTTGGAACAGCTACTTGTGGAATCTGATGCAGTATTGTGGATAACATCTGCCAAAAATTGAAACTGAAAAATTCACCAAAATTAAAAATTTATATGAATTATGGATGTCATTATTATGCAAAATACCTTCCTATGACTTGTAACCTTAATTGCTAATTTTTGTTGAAAGTTTTCTGATTTTGTCAGCTCTGTTTTTGAACTCATCACTGTAATATAATGCCTACTAGTATTGGGATTCTTAAACATTTCTTTGTTTCATCTCTCCAGGCACTTGAGATTCCCACCGCAGATTCCCTGGGTGGTGCTTTTATCCGTACGACCTTTGACATTGCCATCATTGATGTCAATGATGAGACACCCACCTTTGACCAATCAGAGTACAGCATCACTGTGTCTGAATCCACCCTTGTTGGAGCAGCCTTGCCCCTGACTCTACAGGTCAACGACCCTGATGAGGTAAGGGGTCATTATTGGAAAATAAAGCAAAGAAACACACACCTAGATCTTCTGGTTGATGGTAATGTTTTTGCTAGACTAACAATGAAGTTTTAGAAGAGAAAGTAGTGCAGGCTTGCAGTTTTATTTTACTTGTAGCCTACATTTGACAAGGTTGAGCACCAAGCAAACTGCTTGTTTCCTGATGTGCTTCAGTTACCAGACAGATTGTAAGCCAGAAAGATTATCACCCTTAAATCTTACCCATGCTCCCCTGTGTGATGGAAGAGTTATGTTAAGTCACCCCTGGCAAGGTCAAATGTGACCGGTTCATCAATGTCAAATGACCTGACCTTGGGAGAGCTGGTCTGCATTTGAAGTACTGTGATTCATGGTAGCCTTTGAACACTACAGACTGATGCTGAGATTAGGTTATACATGTTCCAAAATACATATGTTGCAGTGATAGATATTTGATGGCATTTTGTACTTTCACAGTAGTGTATACTAAAAAATGGTGCATAATCTAACCCATAATATTTGTACCAAAACTCTAGCCCTGACGCTATGTTGGTTATTTTGAAGCATCCTTAGCAAAGCTACAGAAATGTTTGTTAACCTTCTCGCTGATGAAGTATTAAGCCCACTGGCATCAAATTTGTATTGGTTACAGGGTTAGGCAAGTATGTCGGCAGAACGTACTGCGCCTGCGCAAAACCCTGATTTTTCACGATTTTTGTTGGATTTTGGTTACCATTGCATTAGAATTTTGCCTGTTGCAGAGGATATCTTTTCCATCACAACATTTAGAACTACAGACGAGATGTTAACCTTATATACGCGAATACAACCTTACCTTATATAAGACATTCTGCCGATATACTGGTTAGGCAGCAGAAAGACACAAAGCTGTACTATATATATGACATCTTATCTTCTTGTTTCAGGAAGAAAATGGTGCCTACATGCTGCATCTGGTGGGGCGTACGGCCCCCCAGTTCTTGGTGTCTCCGTCCTCGGCCATGGGTGAGGCTGCCATCACCCTCAGGGTCAACAAACCTCTGGACTACGAGGTGGAACAGACACACCTGCTGGAGGTAAGGGGTCAAAGATCACTTTGAATTTCATAAAATGGTAAAAACTTGCAAGATCTTGATCATAAATATTTGTTTCAATGAGGCATTGGATCAAGAATTATTTCTTTGAGTGCAATTCTTTTGTAACCAGCCTATAAGCTGCATGTTGCTAGAGGTAAATTTTTTTGAAGGCTAGTCAAAGAATTTGAATTATTTTCATCCCAATCAGATTGGAAACTCTTCAAACTCTGTATTTGAATGTTAAAAGCAATTATTGTAGCTATAACTGATTTAGCTATAACTAAGAAAGGAGTCCCCATCCCCAATGCCCTGATGGTGATCTTTATACTATGACTGCCACGATGCATGCAGAGATTTCTTTGAGGAACTACTTTCTAGTTATCAGTTTCATGTAGTGCTGTTTTTCACTATAGATTTTTGCCAATGAGACCAACGGAGACAAATATGGACATGCCACCATCACCATCAACCTCATCAATGAGAATGACCACAGACCAACCTTCACCCAGTCTACCTATTCACTCACAGTAGAGGAGAATGTCCCTATTGGCACCAGTTTACTCAATGTATCAGTAAGTAACTGCTTAAAAATATTTGTCTCTGGAAAAAAGCATCATTGACATGCTCTTGAATGTATGAAGGCTGAAAATAGGGCTTATATAGAATGGCAGCACAAGCTTTGAGTAGCAAGCTTTTTTCTGGTAAAGTTCTTATAGCTCAACTTATCTGATGTCATAATCATATTATGTTGATATACACAGAAAACTGATCAAGTTATTTTATCAATTTCAAGCAGGACTTACTGTAATCTGCCTAATATAAAATTTTAAATGCCAACACTAAATTGTTGATGTGCTCCTTTGAAAACATCCACTGGAAGACAAAATGGTCACTAACAGTCCATAGTGCTGAATGTTGGCCCTCTCCTTGGTGCTGAAACCTGTGTTTTAGTTGGTTTGTTTGAGTTCCGTTGCCTGATATAGCTTGATAAGGCCAAACCAGTGTGATTAAGTGCTAATTCTTCTTCACAGGCATCAGACAGAGACATAGGAGAGTTTGGTGATGTCACCTACTTCATAAACGATGACGAGTAAGTCATTAATTTCTAGGTTGCTCTCCTTGGTGACTTACCGGAAGTAATATTTCATCTAATTGAAAACATCAAGAAAATCCATTATATTACTGCAATGTTTACATTCTTTTTGTGATAGAAGAAGAGGTACCTAAACTTAGTTGACAATGGGAAGAAAAATGTTACTGAGTATGAAGGCATGTATATGTAGCAGTTGGCGACCCTGGACCAAGAGGTTGGGAGTTTGAATCCCGGCTAAATTCACTCACTCAGTATGCATGCTACTGGAAAGGTCTACTGCACAGGACATTAAGCTGTAGTTCCACTGTTCATGCTGCTTGTTGCTTGTTGGAAAGAGCCAGGGGAATTCTCATACAATGAACCTGTAAACATCCCACTACGGTACATACCATGTGTTCTCTGTCCCAACCAGTGGTAGAATGGCTCTTCAGTGAGCTAAAAATATGGATAAGCTTCTTTTTCCTCTTCCAACTTTCCAGCCCCAGGTTCAGGATAGACAGTAGGACAGGAGTGATCTACACCCAGGAGGATCTGGACTATGAGGACAGCTGGAGGTTCAGCCTGACTATCATCGCGCAGGACGGCGGGACTCCCCCGCAGCAGAGCGCCACCAGGGTCAGGATCGACATCCTGGACCTGAACGATAACAGGCCGATCTTCCAGAGGGACGAGTACGTCGGGACGGTGCAGGAAAACGACCAGTCACAGACGCCAATCATTAGAGTCAGGGTAAGGAGGCTGTTATTCTTTGCCCTGGTATGCTCCACTGAAGTTTTTTTCATTCCCTCTGTTGATTTCTGCACTACACAAGTGTTAAGATGCATCAATCAAGCTGAATTTCCTGGGATGTGGAGCTTTTCTTGCTGATTTCTCATTTTCTAGGCCTCTTCTGAGAATTTCCTCCTAGACTACAGTGATAAAAATGGCAGTCATGTAACAATGATTGTTGCTAAAATTGGCCAGTAGGGAATGCACAGAATTTTCAGGAGTGGATATTCCTGACTTAGCATTAGCCAATACACCATGGTCCTATTTGCTATTACTTTTATTCCAGCGTAAGTGTAAGTATTATTATAGGATGCAGATTTTTAAATAAACAAGCCAGAATTGCAATAATTGTTTATCATTTCATTATAGAGAAGACATAAGTCAGTACTAGTATTGTAAAATAGAAACCCACAACTTTGCCTTACCGGTAAATCCATAGCAATTTTCTTCAGCACCCTTTTTTTGGTTGACAGAAATCAGACCACACATGTGTGAAACCCAAGCAGTATGACCACAGGATTGGTTATTGACTTTTACATTAGACCATAATGAGGAAAATTTTCTAATCTCTCCTGGTGATGTGGGAACAATGCAGTGAAATTGGAGGCCATATTGGTTGAGCCGTTCTAGTGAAAGAAACTAGAGTGAGGAAGATGTGTGCCATTAACACCTGTGTTCAAAGCCACCTAAGCCAGCCAGCAAAAATCAATACAGGGTTTCTAGGTTTCTATGCCTTCATAGGCATCTGTTTACACAACTATATCTCTATTATTCATAGCTGAAAAGGCCAGAAATAAATTGCTGTTTGAATAGTAATGGACCTCAACCAAACATGTATGCTTTAGGGATACACCATTTACATTGTATTTCCTAGATTCTCAGATGTTCTTAGCTAAATATCAAGCAAGAGGACAATGATGAAAGTTGAGATCTGGAAGGATGACTTTGTCCGATATTTACACCAAAACCTAAAGTTGACTTACGGACTCTGTTTTTGTGTTAATTACATTACCTAATCCAACTGAGATTGATGTGGTTTAAAAATAAAGATGTGATAGCAGAAGGGGATGGAACTTGGAAAATATGCGTGACGCTGGAATTGCTGAGGCATTGATTCGTCAATCAATAACTTACAGAGGAAGGAGCAGACTCCATCGGCAAAGGAGGAACAACATCTGTGCAAGGAGGCCAGATTGTCTAATATTGATTTTTCTTTTATCATGGTTAATCCCTGATGTTCTCCTAATACCAGCACCTTTTTGCTTTATTGAACTCCTCAGCAATGTAAATCAGGGAGGGCTGAAACAAATAATCAGACATCATTATTTAAAATCAAAATGTTGCCTTTTCCTAGATGTACAGTTCAAATCAAATCAAATCAAACTTTATTCAATCAACTTAACAGTCTTGAACTCAACTGAATTGTGTTCATTTAATATTTTGTTAATTAAAAACAATTCTGTCAATTGATAACATTCTATCAGTTAAAAGTGTTGTATTACATGAAAGTATGTCGAGGAGTCAAACCATTTAATATGTTAAACTGACTAAAAAGGGCTTGTGTCATTCTAAAGGTTGAAAGATAGCTAATAGTCTTCCTCTATAAGCATGAGGTCATTTTCATCTGATGTAATGTCATTATCTATTTTTTCTTGTTTAAATCTTTTACAAGGAATATCCTGCATGCTACATGTAAATCCTTAGATCCTCAATGTCTTCAAGCAAGAGGATTTGAATACGTCTACTAAGTAAATAGGCTAGAAAATGACTGCAATTCTCTGGTAATCATCTGACACTAAGAACCTTTTCCAGTGCCTGGCTGGAATCAATAAGGAATATTATAGATCAGTGTTCCCCTAACTATCCCCTAATTACTAGGGTAGGATGCTCATTTTCGTTGCGGGATGGTCTGATGATCAGTAGTGTTGTAATGGGGGTTAAGAGTTCACAGTTTAGGGAATGGTTAGTGGACAGGGGAGGAATTTATAAGAGTAGGGACTTATCACAGCATGATGAGTATGGGATCTCAGAATATGAACTAAGCTTAAGGTTGTGCAGCATTGCAGAATGGCATGATTTTCACCATTACAAAAGAAGAATGCTGAAATATACATTGTACATATTGTTGGTATTTATACTGTTACCTTTTCATGTTTTCCAACAGTAACTATTTCTGATAGACCTTATCTTACATGATAATTGATATTGATGTAGCAATTCTAATGACCTCTCTTCAGTAGCAGACAATGAAGGGTTTCAATCTTAGCCAGTCATTGCTCACGTTAACTGTTTGCTGTGGGAAGGATGATTGTTGTAGTCCTCTGGACAGGACCAATTGCAGGCTGTAATAACATGGCCAGTGGGAGTTTAGCTTTCTGTCATTTGATATATTTTAAGGCCACAGCAATTTGATTTGTTGATTCACAGATTTGCTGGCTTAATTTTTTTCTAATTTGAAAAAAAAATTCAGGCTCTAACTCAAGATGCCTAGGCCTGTTTTAGTTTTATTTTTTTACTTTTTGCCCTGTTGCTCCCTATTTTTTTCTGGATAATCCAAGAACCAACCAATCAAATTAGTGTGGCCTAAACAAAAAAATGAAAGCTAATCTCTGTTTTGACTTTTGTGGTTGCACAAGTTGAAGTTATGTTTTCTAATGTGTTCATACTAGACTGTACCTTAACAGTTAAATTGTACTTCTCAAATGCAATTACAGTATTCAACTAATGTTACTTGTACTAATGTACATTCTCATTCCACATAGGCAACAGATGAAGACTCTCCACCATACAACATTCTAGTCTATAACATTACATCTGGGGACTCTCTCCATAACTTCACCATAACCACCGATGATGGTTATGGGTACATCTACACCTCTGCACCCCTGGACTACGAGATGATGACAGGAGACATGTTTGAACTGACAGTCACAGCTACTGATGGTGGCAACCATTCTGTCAATAGTACCACACGGGTGGTAATAGAAGTTGAGGTGAGCTTTGGCAACACATACTGAGACATATACAGAAGAAGAAGAAGAAAATTTATTTAGCAAGACATATAGTACATTATTGACATCTGAAAGTCCATGCTTCTAGCTTACATTGTTTGAAATACATGCACTTCAACGTTGAAAAGCTTAATATGTACTGTCAGTATATATAACGACAAAATTAATTGTTATTGGTTAGAAGACAATCTGATATGAAACTTACAACCATATGCCAATCTTGATCAGTTATTCAAATATGAAAAATAAGTGTATTTTTTTCATCATGTTTCCTTCAGGATCAAAATGACAATGGCCCCGTATTCAACCAACAGGAATATAATGTGTCAGTGAGAGAGGACATATCTGCAGGTGGGCATGTGTTAGTACAGGACACAACTTCACATCTTTGATTAAAACAAGATACATGACTTTGTATAAGCTGGCACAAACTGTTTTTGAATTTGATGTATTGAACACTTATATGAACAGTTTTTTATAGATAATAGAATGCAAGGCAATATATGTCAGAGAAACGTTCTGTGTCTGCGCAAAATCCATAATGTATCGTGCATGGAACTTCAGCATAATGTCTTTTTTAAGGTCATATTAGCGTATTTGTGGAAGATCCCATGGATATTGTGTTGGAAAAGATCTTGTCTGCAATGGGCAAAATTATCAATTGAATGCAATGTTGACCAAACACTCTGGTTTTGTGCAGGCACAGTGCATTCTACCGACATTCTAACAATGTCATCTGTTTCCGTACCCTGTAGGTGACACGGTGCTGCGTGTGTTTGCCAGCGATGCAGACATGTCTGAGGAGCTTGGACAGGACTCCGTTATCTACTCCATGTCTGGCTCCAGCCGCTTCCGTATCAACCCTCGCGATGGAGAAATCACCACCACGACCTTCCTCGACCACGAGAGGGAGACAGACTACGTCCTGGAAGTAAGGCTGTCATCAGATCTAAGGAAAAAATGATAGTTTGGATTAGCCTTGCATATTCTAGCTCTGGTTTTTGCTTCCCATTGAATAAATGTGGTGAATAGTCTAAAAAATGTAATTAATTGATATTACAACAGTACTGTACTATAAGTTACTGACACTGTCTATCTCTTAAAGGAAGTTGGTTGCATAAGACCACTTGTTGGTACTAAAAACTTGCATTGAAGTGCTACATTTTTGTACAATGGAACAAAGCAATCAAATGTAAGTAACAGCTATAGCATCACTAGGCTACAATGACCTTGATATTCATTCTGTTATGAATCTTTTCCAGATCAAGGCTGTTGATGGTGGGCAAGGTCTGTATCAGAGGACAGCTACAGTGTTTGTAAGTCCACTTAATATGTTAGTATGATATAATAGATCAGATGATACCAGAAGTTTGCTGTCTGATCACAGTTTCTAAGTTGTTGTTTTTTTGCTGTAGTTTGCTGCAAAAGGTTTAACCCAGCTTCTTTGATGATGTCTGTTTCTTCCAGGTAAACATTACAGTGCTGGATGTTAATGACAACAGCCCTGTTTTTGTCCAACCTGAGTATTACACAAATATACCAGAAAATATCACAGAAACAGATGTAGTGGTGCAGGTGAGAACTGTTTGATGAATACTATCATAATGACAATTTTATGCTTTAAAAGTCATGGATTTTTATTTGTCATGGATCTTACTGTATACAATAGCAGTTGAAAGTGAGTGGTGCATTTGGGACTGGCTCCAGGATCTATTAAAGTGCGTGATTTGTAAGACTTTGATTTTTTTATTCCCAACAGGTAAATGCAACAGATGAAGATTCAACAACCAATGGTGACATCCTGTACGCCATTACTGGGGGGAACACAGACAATGCCTTCACCATTGACCCTGAAAGTGGCGTCATTCTGCGAGGAGCCACCCCTTTAGACAGGGAAACCCTGGACGGATACGTGCTCACCGTAGACGCGTACAATGGTGGGAAACCAGAAATGCGGTCGACAGTACGGGTGAACGTGAGGATCTTGGATGTTAACGACAGGTCGCCAGTGTTTACACAGACTCAGTACGGGAGGCTGGGTCTGCGGGAGAGTGCGGGCGTTGGGACGTCAGCTGTTCTTGTACGCGCCCACGACCCTGACCTGGAGCTGGGAGGACAGGTGGATTATGGGTTTGTTGCAGGGGATAATGGGAAGTTTGCGATCGACGAAAACGGGCTGATCACCACTAGAGCCGAGCTGGATTTCGAAAGCAAACGAAACTACACGATTTCTGTCTATGCTAGCGACAGAGCACCCCCGTACAACACAGGATATGCCACCGTGGTGATTGTTCTAGCCAATGAGAACGACGAACCACCAGAGTTTAACGCTGAACACTACGATGCGGATGTGTCAGAAAACGTGGACGTTGGGACGAGCGTGTTGCAGGTTTTTGCCACATCCCCTGATAACCTGGCAGCTATTGAGTACCTCTTTGACCCCAACACAAATGAAGAAGTCCTGAGGCGGTTCAGTATTAATGGATCTACTGTAAGTACACTCCATCTGGATGTGGTTACTTAGTGATGAAACCTTCATTTAAAGGCTCAAGATAATCCTGTTAACAAGGATGAATTGGGGGGTCTAATGAGAGGTAGTGGTTCAGAACTTTCCAGATTGCCTCTTTATAATGCAGCCAGTTAAGATGAATATTTGGGCTTCTCGAGGCATAATTAATTCAGGGCTTTCAGCAGTAATGCACCCACTGTAATTACTTGGATCTCCTTAGTCTCATTTTATCCAGACATTAAAAGAGTCTGTGGAATACTAACAGCCAAGGGAAATATATTTTTTATTATATGACAGGGTAAGCAGTCAAATGTGATTAACTAACTTTCTGGGTTGAGGATTGAAGTTAACTTTTTAGCTTACATGCACTTGGAAGTTCTCTGACTCTCCTGAACTGCATGTAGTCCTTTCACAACTTTTGCTGGTAGGCATCATTATTCGATACCCTCTCACACTTCTACTTGAAGCCTTCATTTTCAGAAGCCTCCCTAGCGGATCAGAAGTTCATCAGTCTGCTTCAGTTTGCTTAACAAGGTTATGTTAACGTCAACACACTTGCTATGCATGTATTCTTGATTAATGAATGTGGAAGCCACATTATTGGAATTCTTGAAGGCAGTGATTTTTGCGCTGTGGGACCCAGCAGGCATCAGACTTATTGTGCAGATTAGTCACATTTGTAGCACTGGAGGTTGTGATTTTAGATCCGACCAGTATGCAGAAAAAAATCAAAACTTTACCATCAGAAGTTAGTGATGACAATTTGATATAAAATGGACGTAAATACCACGGTTATATAGTTTGGGGACCAAGAGTTTACAAACTCAATTCATTCCTTGCCATTTGAATTCGTAATTCTCAGTCTAGCCAAGCAAATAGCAAGAAGACTAAAATCAATATGTACCAAGTGATTTTATGTATATTATTAGATACATGTATATGGGGGGAGTGTGTGAGAGAGAGATAGAGAGAGAAACCAGTCAACATATAAGAAAAAATCGAAATTTCATCAACAGAGGTTTTTCATCGTAGTGATGACAGTTGACTGAAAAGAAATTGGCATAAATGACTGTTACAGTTTGTTGCTAAGACTTTGAAAGCTCAACTAGATTTGTTGCCCATTTGAATCCCTAATTATCAGTCTCGCCAAACAAATGGCGGAAAGACTAGAATCAATTCATACCAACTGCCTCATGTCGCCCTGGAGTGGAAAGTTTCTCAGGGGAGCGTACCAACTGGGCCTTTGTTTTATGGGAAAATTGATTTTTACCCCAAGCAGTGATGGGTATGAATTAGTTGAGTTTGTCTGAGATGTCTCAGGTGGTATTGTGTCATCAGGGACAGAGAGGCCAGGGTACCCCGGCTGGATGGAGGTGGTAGAAAAGTACTAGTGCTATCCACAAGCTACTGCAGTGACCATTGTTGCTTATTTCAGCACATTCAGTTATCTGTTGGTTATGGGGTTAGGTTGGCAGCAGGAGAAGTTAAAGGGGGATTTTGCTTGTCTTGTTCATTGAATTCGCATGTAGAGCATCGTAAAGATTAAAAAAAAGAAGATGAAATGGGAATAATGTCTATTATTTCCTACTGAGGGAACATCTGAGGGAGTATATTACACACATGTACATGTACCACATTGTGTATGGTGAGTGCTAGACTACAATTTAGCATTATCATGAGGCCATGCAAATGCTGTGTTTAACTATGTGGTTGGGCTATTACTGGTTTTTAGCTTATCATGAATTTATACTGGTCACCAGTCAGATAAAGTGTCTACAGTTTAGTCCTGAACTCTGTTTCAAGCTTCCCACTGACTCCATGAGGTCAACATGGCTTTGTGAGAACAAATTCGATATGTCTATTATCTGTAAAAGGTTGAACATTGGTAATTCAACTAAGCGTACTATTTCAGGTATTGATTTTGCATTCTTTACAGTCCATCAGAAAATTCTGTCTTCAGATCAATAATTAGATTTAGCGATGTTGAATGGATTTTGGGTCAGTGCATTTGTAGGTGAGAATAACATCCTTTTTTTCTTGTTTGTGAAAATTGAATTGATCCTAACAATATGCACTTATTCAGCTACTTACTCCGACTGGCTGGTAATGTTATCTAGTTTTTGGTACTCTATAATTTTGTTTAAGGTTGTCAATATTTTAAGGTTGATATTTGTATGTTTCCTGACGGAAAAAAATGTACAAATTGTTTTACACTACATATACATGCATCTACATTATGTATCAATATTTTGAATTTTTTATCTCAATCTTACCAGTATGAATGTATCATTTACCACCAAAGAATTCTCCCAATATAGAAATATTTGAAGGGACAAAGCCCTTTTTATGTTTTCCAAAAGAAACCATATTGAATTGTTTTTGCTCTGTTTCCTTTTCTTCTCCAAACCAATAAGGGCAATGACCTTAACCAGACATCTGTCACCATGGTAACTAGGCTTGGGTTACATCATGTTGCAATCTTATAGCAGGAGGGATTTAGACCATATAGTCTGACTATATATAATATATGAATGTGTTTGAGTAAGTATTAGCAGAGCAGACAATATGCAAAGGTTGACATTATGCATTTGCTTTGCAAATGTTACCTGCAAATGTTACAATACATCAAACTAGAAAGTTTGATGTAATTTATTCTCTTTTCTTGTATCTAGGGCCTGATCAGCACCATTGACAGAATAGATCGTGAGGAGGCAGCCCAGTATGATATCACTGTCATCTCTACTGATGGAGGGATAGAAACAGACTCTGCCACGGTGAGTGTTGTTGTCAGCTATTGATCACAAATTAAGCCTGTTCAGCACTTGTTAGACAAGTTCATCCTCTCTAAAATAGTGAGAAACAAGCCAAAAGAAGCCAAATGTTGTGTATCCCTGTCCTTGGTTCTGAAATGCAGATAGTGGTTAAACACAGAAATCATGCCCTTCTCGGTGCTGAACAGCATTACACATGCTGCTGCCATCTCTTTCTCTCATGCTGAAAAGGAGAATTCAATGCTACCAATATTGTTCCATATAACATTGCTTTCTAACTGAACTAAATTTGACCACTTTTCGAGCTTCCCTGTCCTTGGTTCTGAAATGCAGATAGTGGTTAAACACAGAAATCATGCCCTTCTCGGTGCTGAACAGCATTACACATGCTGCTGCCATCTCTTTCTCTCATGCTGAAAAGGAGAATTCAATGCTACCAATATTGTTCCATATAACATTGCTTTCTAACTGAACCAAATTTGACCACTTTTCAAGCTTCCTCATAGTTTTGCCAAAGCCTTTTTCCGAGCTTCACAGTATCTGCTTGTATTTTCAAACCTTTGCTACTCCAAAGCAATCTGGACAGATGTAATAAAACTGTTAGGCTGACATGGCAGTGAACATTCCCCCTAATGATGTTGTCCCTGACCCAGTGTCTGGTCGGTACTTCAACTCTGACCTACATTTCCTAATCCCCAATCTCATGTGATATTGCAGCTTTCGTTACTGTATTTCTCTGTCCAAATTGATAGATTGCATTGCTTGTTCCCATTGCTCTTTCACCTTGGGGGCACAGCAGTTTGATTTGCTCTTTCTGGAATCGAAATGTAACAGAGTCTCCAGGCATGGTTTGATTTTGATGTGCACTGCACATGTGCACTAAATTTTGGATTGAACATTATCTGATTCATGCTTTTCATTTCATTTTCATATTTCACCCTCACTCATTTCCTTGCTTGCTTGACAACCAAGAAAAGTAATTGGTGGGGCCTCAAAATTGATTTATGGCATTGCTTGCTCCCTTTGCTCCATGAACTATAAGGTCCTTTGCACCATCTCAACTGATTGCACTTTGAGAAAGGTTTTGCAATGATGTGGTCCACTGCAGATGGTATTCCAAGAATCATGACTCTATAATCAGTTACTCTTGTAGGAAAGTAGTTTTGGTGTAAAGAGCATGCAAAATTGCAAAATTACATGGATGAACTATGTAACTGCACAAAACTATATCCATAGCAGCGGGACTTTTGTTTCCAAGATTTCTAAACTACAATGATTTTTGTATAATTTTATGTGTTAAATTTGTATCTTGAAGATAGAACAGTTGTTTGCAGTATAATGACTTTTGCAAACTTTAAAACATAGCAAGAATTTCAAAATTTACAGTGAATGGAAATCCACAAAATGTAATTGATATTGCCATATTTTAGGCGAATATTGAATGTGACTTATATAAAGAATTATTGCTAATTCCAATATAGCTTTTGCACTTAACAACTTCTCACTCCATCTGTTTTGATAAAAAGCCAATCATGAAATGGATGACCATTGCAAGTACACCACATGTGTAACAATCTACAAGCATACATTATACATGGCTTCAACACCATATTTTACCCCTGTACCCTATATATTGTGCCTTCTCAGTCGATATGTATATAAAGCATGTTGCATGCTTATGAGTTATGACACATTGGGGACTCCTGCCACACAAAAACTGAACAGAGGGTGTCTGTTATTGAACCCTTTGATGTGCCATATGATAAGATGATGAAGATATAGCTCATACACAGCCTGGGTAGTAGCAGACAATGGCAACACCTTCATTTATTGCCTCTGTACTGAGCAACAGTAATTAGAACCACTTTGTCAATGCCATCACTGGGATGGAATCATGTGGTATTTACATTTCGTGCCACACCGATTTGAATTGTTGGTTCTCCGATTTAAAGCATAAATGCTTAAGTCAAAGCTTAACATGAAAATAGAACCTAGGGGCCAAGTTTGGGTTCACACTGTTTTGGAATATAGTCAGATTTCAGCCCCATAGCTTTATTTTATCCTCTTGCTTTATTTCTACTTTCAATTGGAATATCTGAGAACCATAGAAACACATTGGTATGGCCTAACATACATATGTCAATGATGTTGTGGAAAAAATTCCATTCAGTTACAGTTTGTCAAATGTTCTGATTTATATTCTCCAATGCCTCCATTCCGTACATGTTCTAAATGAAAGGCTTACCAAGCTGAACTAAACCTATTTAGGCCCAAGGAGTGCAGGCCATACCCTCAGATATGAACAATACGTCATGTCTAAGCGTAGTTGGCATCAAACCCTGTAAGGCGGAAGCCTTCACCGACACTGTACAGAGTGGATAATTACACTTACTTCATCATTGTCATCTCTGCACTTAAGAACATGTCACATTGGCAACAGTCCATACTGTGCAGAAACTGTCTTCACTCAAGTATAGTCACATTGTGTATTCATCTAGGAGAGAGTATAACATTAATGGCAGTGACATTAGCAAGCATTGTAAAGAAAAAATAATCATTTGAATATTAACTAGAGTTCCACGATCTCATACCTTCGCCAAATGATGTTAGCTTTTATGATTAAGAAATTATATATTAGTCCCCCTAATTATGCAAATAGGATCCTCAATTGCATGAATTATATCTGTTGATCATATTCTCCACCAAAAGACAGTCTTATCTTAACAAAGAATGCCATGATGACATTTTCTCATAAATTATGCAAATGAGGTCCTTATTTGAATAAGTTTTGTTTAATTATGTTCACCTTAACTTAACTTTCAAACACCCCAAGTATAAAATTCCAGGCAGTTACCACTATGCAATTATAATATTTTCTCATTAATTATGCAAATTAAGTCTTCATTTGCATAATCGATATCTGCCTGTGTTTCTCTCATTGTTAATAACATATGTCACAAGCTTGAACTTCCTATTATGGAATACAGCTGATAAATAGAATTTCCTCATTAATTATGCAAATTACATCCATATTTGCATAACTGTAATATCATTATGTCAAGCATCACTCAAGCTACCTACATACCAAAAATCATGATGATCCATCAATTGGTTCTTGAGTTATCCCCCTTTAAACATTTGTCCATTAAACCCCCCTGCAGTTCTACAGCAAGCAACTAGGGGGCTCAAGCTCATGTCACTTTATCCCCAGCACAAGAGCTATCTACCATCTAAATTTCGTCACCCTAGCATGTCTGGATCATGAGGTATCAAAACCGGAAGTTCTGCTGCAGTACCATGACAAGCCGCCAGGTGGCCCAAAATCTAATCATTTTGAGGTCTCATCAAGACCTACCTACCTACCAAGTATCAAGACAATCCATCAAGACCTTCTCAAGTTATCGTGTTGACAGACAGACACACACACACACACACACACACACACACACACACATACACGAACGCCCCTGAAAACATAACCTTCTTGGCGAAGGTAATAAAATAATTCTATTCTTTTATTATACTGAAAAGTGGAATAATGTTTTATTATACTGAAAAGTGGAATAATGTACATAACTTTCTTGAGGTGGCAGATTTGTTGAATGAATAGACTCTAAACTTGTTTTCCATTTTCTTGACAAATACTTGTACTGACCCAAATAGGAACAAGCCTGTTATTGGTCCTAGCTGTCAATGTTGTCTAGTATCCTTATAGGTTTGCCCTGGTTTTTGTCACAGTATAACAGTTCAGGTGATACATCATAGTCTCTTGTAAATGAACATACCGGTAGGTCTATTGATCAAATCAATTAAACAGTCCAAACAGAGTCCAGTGCACTCCTACAACCAATGAAAGGGCATGTTTTATTCCTTGTGCAATATAATTACACACATAATGCAGTGGTCTACCCTACAGGAGATAGAGAAATCCATAAGCAGTAAATTGTCTTTTTTTTTTTATTGATCTGAAGGAGTCCATGAAATCAATACTGTAACAGTACAGCCACAGAAATTTCACTTGTTGGCTCTTAGATTAAAAAAAAATACTGTATTGTCGAATTCGATAAAAGCAACGTGAGGACTAAGTCTTGGCACACGTATTTTCAGGGAGTCTAATAAAAGTTTTTCTCCAAGCATTCTATTTTCATCTTGTTCTCTTTCTTGATCTCTACTTTAAAATGTCTTCCTTTCCCCCCAGGTATCTATAGTGATTGTGGATGAGAACGACAACTTTCCCAAGTTTGACCTCTTCACCCAGACAGATGTGAGTGTGACGGAGGGTCCCATGACTCCCAACGGTTCAGCTATTGCCCGAGTCCTCGCCAGGGATCCTGATGATGGGGACAATGGAAGGGTGAGGGAGTTACTTGGAGAATTATTATAACATAGTTAGAATGGACCGCTCTGGAGCAGAAACTTCTGTGTTGTATTGGCCATGATATTTCTGTCTACAAAACCTTATTTGGGTTTCGTATGTGGTTTTTCTGGTATTTTAAACTCTGGTTAGAGGGTTGTGTTTGATTTGAACCATTAGGTGACATAGTCAATTGTTTTTTTAGATCATTTTTTACATTTATCATTGTCATTTTTGACAGGTGGAGTACACTATAGAAACTGGGAATGAGCTGGGATACTTCAGAGTAGAGAAGACAGAGTCTGGACATGGCATCATCAAGAACCTACATCCACTAGACAGGGAGGAACAGGAGGAGTACAGGCTCAGGGTAGGGAGAAATTTGATAGTGTGTTACAGAAAGTGCAGTACCATGTGGAACTGAAAGAAGGCTCTCCTGACTATAAGATGGCAGAATGTAACATTGACTGAGCTGCTCTCCTGACTATAAGATGGCAGAATGTAACATTGCTGCTGCCTATGAAGATCAAGGTGAAAACAGAGTCTGGGGTCCAAATTTTAGGCTTGGTACACTCCATAAAGAGTGATTATAGTCAGATTCAAGTATTCCTTCCAGTTCTCTTTCTTGGTTTTTACAGAGAAGGAAATAGATTTGTGTGGTCCAATGGTAATATCATTTGAAGCTACTAGTGGAATAAAATCTTCTTGAGAATAGTGGTCAAATTTCCTTGTATGGCTTACTTTCTAATATAATGCTTAGATTAAAGTGTGTAATGCTTACTAAATAGAATGAAGGGTATTTCTGAATGGTGTTTGAAAAAAGATGCAACTATCTGTAGACAATGTTCTCAGGCATAACACTGTACCTTTACCAACTCATCACATTTTTTGTTACAAGTCAAGTCAAAGTTTATTGCACATGTCAACAATTGTAACAGGTACAATGTAAGACCGCTATTGATTGTTCCATGTTTGGTTGGCACGACAGGTTGTTGCATGTGACCAGGGCAGCCCACAGCTGTGTAACAATGTGACAGTTGTGATCACCCTGGAGGACATCAATGACAACGTCCCTGTCTTTATCTTCAATTCCTCCTACCAATACAACGTCTCAGTACAAGAGGTCAGAGGCCACTGAGTTATGCCATTTTTGCTACAATGTACCCATCATAGAAGAAGAACTGGTTATTGTTTCACAAATTCACACACATTCAAGTACAGTTTTGTAGCTCATTGTTCAGCCTAAATTCAATTTTCAATTTTAATTTTATTCAATTTGACAAAATCGTACAAAGCAGGAATTGACTAACGCACCCCTGAATTGTGCTTTGATGTTTCCTTGCAGAATGTAGGAGGTGGCACTACAGTGACCCAGGTTCAGGCCATGGATATTGATGCTGGAGACAATGGCTTCCTTTCCTATTATATCATCAATGGGAACGAGGACTCTATGTTCAGGTGTCTGGCCAATTATGAACTTGCAGTAGAACTGTATTGAATAGTTTGGAAGGTCCCCTTTGAACTTTCATCATTGCAGTTGCAGTACTATATGCAACCAAAAGGAAGCTCTTCTGACTAAGATGGCAGCATTTACCTTTGACTGAGGTGATGCTGAGTTTTGTACATTGACAGAAAGATGATTCAAGTCTTAACAACTGAAAAAGTTTACTACATTGTACCAACATATTCATTTTGCAAGAGAGTTGCATAGTTATCATTTTGGTCTGTGTTTGTGTCAGGATGGACAGGTTGTCAGGAGACATCACCACACGTCCCAACTCACCCGACCGTGAGACCAAGGATTTCTACAACATGACAGTACTGGTGGAGGATGAGGGGTCACCGCAGCTACAGGTGCAAACTGTTATAACAACTGTAATGGTTGCAAATTAAAGCTATATAATTGTTTGAAGGGCAGTTGTACTCAAGCTATTAAGAGAGATACATATGCAGGGGTCTGTTATAGTTCTTACTGCCCAATGTTTTGTTATAGCCAGATACCACAACATTACCAAACATAATCAACGCATAGTTTGAGTCCTGTGACCCCCAAAAAGTAAGGTGTATAAAGAATTAGGTTATGTGATACATTTCCACAGATTTACAAGCCAAAGCCACTCTTTTGCCTGGCTAAGTATTCTAATAGAAAATGCGGTCCGTATTGTGAATATGTTGCAGCTTTTTAAAGGAAGCTAGTCTGATTCAGTTATCTCAACAGCCAATCAGCAAGGAAAACCACTGCCTGCAAATTGGCCAATCAGGCCACTGCATATGTAGAAATGCTGCATGCCTATTGGCTCTCACTCTTCTATACCGTCTCTTCCCCACTTCAGGCATACACTCAGGTGTTCATCTACATCCTGGATGAGAATGACAATGCCCCTGTGTTTGAGTTTCCCACCTACTCCTACACCCTGAGGGAGGGGGAGGGCAGTGCCGGTATCTACATCGTGGACATCAACGCTACAGACATTGATCAGGGACAGAATGGCCAAGTCATCTTTGACATTGCCAATGGGAATGATGGCAATGAATTTGAAATTGAACCTGACACAGTAAGAACCTTTGAAACCTTGTCTTGGTTGTAATCCTTTAATTTAAGTAATACTGTTTGAGGCACTTCTATGTCATTGTCCCTGACTTGAACAGACGTCATAATTTGTATTTTGTCTGTATAGAACCCCAATTTCCAACAAGAAATTACACAGAAGGGAAGATGTATAGACCAATTTGACATTTCTAGACTTTGAAGCCAAGATTTTTTCCTGCCTTGAGGTTACCACTACTGTCTGTTTTGTGCAGGGGAAGATCAGGACTGTGAATGAACTTGACTATGAGAACAGTGCAGGAGAGTACCGACTTGCTGTGACTGCCACAGACCAGGCACTTGATGTGAACAAAAGGAAAACTTCCACAACAACTGTAAGTACTGTTCTATAATGTGGGTGTTCTAACTTAAATATTCTCTTATATTGACATCAATGTAAATCCTGTATAGAATGAGGGATTGATGCATTGGGGCAAGATGTTTATCACAATATCCTTACAGTTTCTTTTTTTAGCTTAAAGAAGTAGTCTAATCTGTATAGAGGGAAAGCCTGCAAGTTTTACTTTGAGATGTAGAGTAACACAAACAGCTATAATCAATAACAAAGTCCATACCTGACCAGGTGACTATCTTTGTGAATGACATCAATGATGTGGTCCCACACTTCCTGAGAGAACAAGTGGGCCCCATCAGGATGGCCGAGGGTCTGTTGGGGTCATTTGTGGGCAGCTTTCCTGCACTGGACGAGGATTCTGGAGACTTTGGCAAGATTGACTACACAATTTTTGATGGAGATGAGGATGGTGAGTTTTCTGAAGACAAATTCCCTTGCATGTTATATAACTGTTTGTGTACAAATAAACCATCCCTGTCCCTGGTGCTGAACAACATTCACACATGCACCATCCCTGTCCCTGGCGCTGAACAACATTCACACATGCACCATCCCTGTCCCTGGTGCTGAACAACATTCACACATGTACCATCTCTGTCCCTGGTGCTGAACAACATCCACACATGCACCATCCCTGTCCCTGGTGCTGAACAACATTCACACATGCACCATCCCTGTCCCTGGTGCTGAACAACATCCACACATGCACCATCTCCGTCCCTGGTGCTGAACAACATTCACACATGCACCACCCCTGTCCCTGGTGCTGAACAACATTTACACATGCACCATCTCCGTCCCTGGTGCTGAACAACATCCACACATGCACTATCTCTGTCCCTGGTGCTGAACAACATTCCCACATGCACCACCCCTGTGCCTGGTGCTGAACAACATTCATAAACTATTATAAAGTTCATTGCAATTTCAAGAGCTATATAAAGTTGTTGGTCCATACATGTATTGTCAATGGTATTTTGGTAGTCTGACATGAATCATGCTTCTATGTGCCTCTCCTGCAGTTTTTTCAGACAGTCTTATGGCTCAACACAGTTGTCCAATAGAACTATCTGGTATGTTAGTTATTCCCAATCTTCATTGGTCAGTTTGTTTATCCGTCATTCAGCTGATTGGTTGTTTGTACCCTCCTGTCAGATGAGTTCTACATCTCCCTGCTGGACGGTGACCTGAAGGTGAAACAGGGACTGGAACTGGACAGAGAGAGGACGGCTTTCTACAACATCACCCTACGGGCACAGGACAGGGGACGACCTCCTCTCAAGGGCTTTGTAAGATTTCTTCTTTTCACACTGAACGTTGTTGTCTTGTTTTGTCAAATTATTTTAAAAAGTGATAGGAAAGTGATAGTTGTCTCTTCATCATCCCAAACAATTTTCCATTTTACGTGAAGGGCATCATAAGGTTTTTAGATTTTTTTTTCAAAGTAAAGTCTTCTAAATTTTGTACTAAGATCTCATTTTGAATCCTATTTATTAAAAAAGTATTATTTCACAAATTCTTGAAATTGAACTTGAAGCATTATCTGAGTCATGTTAAGATCTTCCTATATGCTTTTGTCTGGCTCTGCATAATTTTTCTTCTATCACATTTTAAAAATGTTCTACAGATGACTGTCAGTATAGAGGTTCTGGACATCAATGACAACGACCCTGTTTTCCAAGACCTGCCGTATTACTGCAGAGTCAGTGAGAATTCACCTGTGGACACCCTGGTGTTTAAGGTGTCTGCAAATGACACAGACGAAGGCAACAATGCCTTCATTACTTACAGCATCACCAGTGGGAACATTGGACAGGTCTTCAGGATAAACGGAACAGTAAGTACTGATTCTTCAACAGCTATTGGCGGGACAGCCATTGGCTATCAGCCTTTTTTCAGTTAATGAACTCGTCATTCTTTTGTTTATTTTGGAGAATTGCCTTTGCATTGCAATGTTGGTTATGTTGTGTTAAAGAACAAGCCTAACTCCTTTTCAATTACAATGTTTCAGAATGGAGAGATCTATGTGAATGGCCTGCTAGACAGAGAAGTCATCCCACAGTATACCCTGACTGTCACAGCTAGGGACAACCCCAAAAACCCTTCACATGTTAGAAGGGTAGGTCACTGGTCATTGCACACTTACATAAGTAATATATGTACACCAGGACACACCATCTGAATATCTTGTTTCACTATATTCTTTCTTGGCAAAGTATATGTAAACTGTATGATATAGTCTAGTCTTTGAGCTTGAATATGTTATGCTTTCCCCAGAGCCAAAGGCAAGTAAAGTTTAAAGATTTTTGTATAGCTTAGTCTGCCAATTTTAAGTGTTCCCTTTCTTCTCTCCAGGATGCTACACAGGTTTACATCACAGTGATAGATGAGAATGACCAGAGACCGAGGTTTACCCAGCCGCTGTACAGGGGCAGGATCTCTGAGAACTCACAGGCAGGCACAGCTGTAGACATGGTGATTATTACTGCATGTCATTCATGTACCTGTCCTTGGTGCTGAACGCCAGCCACACACAACATGCCTGTCCTTGGTGCTGAACACGCTCCACACATATCTGTACAGGCAGACATGTATGTCCTTAGTGTTTAACACAATCTACCCACAGTAAGTAAACTTACTTGTCCCTGACAAAAAACATCTATGTACACACAAAAGACCTGTCCTTGGTGCTGAACACTATCTACACACAAGTAATCTTATCTGTCCCTAGTGATTAAAACCATCTACGTACACCCAGAAGACCTGTCCTTGGTGCTGAACACCACACACACACACACACACACAAACACACCTGTCCTTGGTAGTTAACATCATCTACACACAAGTAAACGCATCTGTCCTTGGTGCTGAATTCCATCCACTTGCTAAGGGGCTTCCATGTCTTCTGACACATGAGGCAATCAGAACATTCCAGCATGTTCAGTCAGCAGCCAGTCTCTCTGCATCCTTCCAGGTTAGATTTTCTGCTGCATGCTTAATATTCCAGTAGAAAATGTTTCATTACAAGATATTAGGGAAACTTAAAGAGATCAAGAAAAGATAAACTCTCTACTTTTGTTAACAGAGTGAAGACATCCTGGCAGTTGATGCTGATGCCACAACCAATGCAGAAGTGCACTACTCCATCTTTGGCAAGGATGCACGATTCTTCAGGATAGACAGTGTCAAAGGTAACACTTTCTCAGCTCAAATCTTTAAAAGTATTTATTCTCTCTAGTAAAGCTTTGATAAAGTTTCTTTCAAGTTTGTGGACTAGGACAGAAATTATTATGCTGAAATTGTGCTGAAATTAAAAATCAATTTAAAGTAGTACTGCACGATCTAGTAAAATGTTAAAGTCTCACCTTAACTCTAATTAGAATGTTATCCTTACATGTTTGATTGTTCTACAGGTGAACTGTTTGTGAGGGATGGCAGTTTGCTAGACAGGGAGACAGTTGGCAATGACCTCAGCTTTACTGTCATGGCAGCCGACCCTGGTGGACTGAACGAGTCCGCTGGGATATACCTGGAGATCCTGGATCAAAATGACAATTCTCCCATCTTCACATCAACACTCTTCAGAGCAAATGTGTCTGAAAATGCTTTTCCAGGTTAGGAGAATATTTGCTACCCTAAAATGCTCAGTGGCATCAGACAGTCATTGGTTTACTGCTGTAAGTTATAAAGTTATATACATCAAGGAAGAATTTACAGCTATTGGGGCATTTCAGTTTCAATGCATTCTCTCCTAAAGTACTTCTATTATTTTTCACATGTGCCAGCAACATTTCTACCCAGTTGCTATGTACCAACCTCATCTGTTATAATACAATACAATCTATGATACTCACATGAATTTTTGCATAGTTTTTATGAGAACAAAAGCAACCAATCATAAGACAAAAATTACATTCTTCTCCCCCAAGGAACCTCAGTGACCAGAATCCAGGCTAGTGACCAGGACGATGGACTTAACAAACTCATCACCTACCGTATAGAGAGTGGCGGGCAGGACAAATTCACCATCAACCCTGAGACTGGTGTCATCCGCATCGCTCACCGACAGGCCCTGGACAGGGAGGCACGCGACCAGTACGTGCTGGTCGTCAAGGCGACCGATCACGGCATCCCCACGCGGTCCGGAACCAGCACGGTTCTAATCGAGGTGGAGGATATCAACGACAGCGCGCCTTATTTCCTACAGTACATCCACACGGCTACTGTTTCAGAGAGTATGGAGGTAGGGAGTTGGATCATCAATGTTACAGCTGTGGACCAGGATCTCAACAGCCTGCTGGATTACTCCATCACAGCAGTGGTGGCCACAGATCTACAGGGGAACCACATTGTGAACGGGATGGGCTATCTGGACTGGTTCGGTGTGGACCAGTTTGGGGGAGGGCTGTTTGTGAACTCCACCCTGAACAGGGAGAAGGCAGAGGTGGTGCAGCTGACTATCGGTGTGGAGGACCTGACATCGGACGTGCCACAGAGGGCACGCAGTGGGAGGGATGGTAAGGACTGCTTCTGTTGTTTTTTATCAGTGGAAACTGTGTTTAAAGGTATTAACGTATTGGCCTATTGGAAAAGAAGAAGGTCCCTTTCCACTCCTTGTGGAGCATAGGGGTGGTGCCAATCTCCATTTCTGTAGCCCTTGGGCCACACAGTTATGCAAGCACTACAGCAGGGGGCTAGGCCACTGGTAGTGTTGTGTTGCTGGCCTATTGGACCCATTGCAAAATCTTTTACAGGCCTGACATACCCACCTGTCTTTTTTTGTTCATTTCATCCTGCTACATGTATTATCACAGAGTTACTGTACATCACTGTGAACTGTTGAGATTGTGATAAAAACAGTTACTTATTATCTTCTGAAATGTTCTGAAATTGCTGTAATTCCTGAGGCCAGATCAGTGAAAATTTAAATCCTGTTACATGTATTGATAAGTATCTATTATTATCATTGAGAAAATCTCTATTAGATGTGTTTTATAGAGTAAGTAAAGATTACTTGTATGTGTATACATAATATGGTAATAGACCACCTTTTATGACTTTACACCCCAGCTCAGGTGACGATCAGTATCATCGATGAGAACGACAACACGCCGACCTTCCAGCCGCCTGGCGTGGCGTTCTACCAGGAGAGGATTCTGGAGGAGGTTCCTGTAGGAACGGTCGTCATGAGTATCATTGCAACGGATGCCGACAAGGGGAAAAACGGAATCATCACCTACAGGATTGTCAACGGCTCGCTGGCTACAGAGTTCTTTGCCATCAGAGACAAATATCTGGGTATGTTGGACACAGCAGCTTTTGGTGAAATATATTGAATACTTTTAGAAGCGTGCAGAGTTCAGAACTTGGCTGTTGTTGCTTAATTGACGTTCGTACCACTGAAAGGGCTCGCAGTCCCATTTAGCCCTGATCCACAGTACATTGTACATGTACATGCATGTACATGTCAAGAAGAGCTAGGGAAATTTGTCTTCACTGTCACAAACAGTGGAAAACTATTTAGCTCTTCAGTGAGCTAAGTTGGTTCCAGATCAGCTTCATCATGATCATGATAGTTCTTCTTTCTTAGAAGAAGTCTTCATGATTCAGAAGCAAAATTCTAAACTGTAAGTTTATATATAACACTGTAATTCCTGATTTATTTTAGGTACTTAATATGTATGTTTGCAGTCACTTCTGTACCCCAAACTTATTATTACTGTTAACAACTTATTTGCCAACTTTCTTTTTCTGCACCTGCGCCACCGTGAACATATAGTTCTGTAAACACGTCCATTTTTCTCAGACTGCAAAGTTTTGCTGCTGTGATCATTAAGTGAATTACAGTATTATGAAACATACACCCCTCCCCAGGCACTATCACAGTGAGCAGACCTGTGGACCATGAGCAGCACCAGTGGGTTAACTTCACCGTGCAGGCCGCAGACGAGGGCAAGCCTGTCAGGACAGCTGACATCCCTGTCTCCATAGAGATAGTCGACATCAACGACAACAATCCCATCTTCTCACTCAACAAATATCAGGTCAGAAACACACTTGAGAAAGTATTATGTATTTCAATAAGTCGACTTCTATAATTGATAAAAAAGAACTTCAGACAAGATTTTTCCAAGATAAGGCCACACCAATTTAATTTCTTGGTTAACGGATTTTTGTAGAAAAATAATGGAGCGGGCGGGCGAAAAAAAATAAAAATAAAAACAGGCCTAGGCATCCTATTATGGCCCAAAATGGTTCGATAGGAGCCATGAAGTCAACACACCAGGCTGGTTCAAAATTTAAACAATGAATTTTGAACTTATAATGATACCATTGCATTGAAAGATGGAATAGTTGTAACAACTAGGATGAAAAGGACTGTTTTCAACTGTTCAGGGCAAAATATGAGCATTTTACACTTGATTCTAAATTTTTATTTTTATTTGCAAATCAGAAAAAAATGAAGCGGGCGAATCCGTTAACCAAGAAATTAAATTGGTGTGGCCTAAGGGAGGAAAGGAGTAGAAATAGAAATTAGTACACAAAAGGCAAACAAACATATACTATTAGATAACTGATTATAACATTGATACCATAGTTATGTTTATTGGTGAAATTCTTATGAGATGTCTGGTTTATAACCCTTCAGAAGAACTACATTAAAGCTTGATATGTAGTTCTTCAAGTGTGGTATGAGTGTTCTATAGATGATGCTTTTCTGGTTGTGTGTTTGTACACTTACAGAACTAGACCGTTTTACAGTTTATCCCTTTGTCTTCAGGCTTCAGTTTTAGAGAACCAGCCTGCTGGGACAGAGGTGCTGAGGGTGGAGGCTACAGACAGGGACAGTGGCAGCTACGGCAGGGTGCAGTACCACCTGTCAGGGGCAGGGGGCAGGTTTACCATCCATCCTGACGAGGTACGTCACATTGTGGCACAGTCACAGTCTTCAAGCATTGGTAGGAAAATGGAGTCAATAGATTCTTTTGGAAACAGTGTGGAAAAAATTGATATGCTTAAGTTTTTGAAGAATGTATACATGTAAGTTTGGGAGTAAATGTAGTGTATAGTAGCGTGGATTCATTCCAGCTATTACTGGCATCTAGCATACTACAGTCATCCCTCAGTAAGACATCTGGAGTTGCACAGTTTATGTTTAGAACTTTTGACCCTGTGGACTTCTTCAAATGTACAGAGGCAAAGTGACACAGGTTCTCAAAATTCTCACTTTTATACATTTCCAGTGCATATCACCCTGAACTTTGGTAACATGATACCATACATGTCTTAGCTTAATTGACCATTTGAAATGTATTTACTACAAGATGTCTTCCTCATGTTTGACTTTCAGGGTAACATCACCCTGACTGAGCCCCTGGACAGAGAGAAGCAGACAGACTACCTCCTGAGTGTGACAGCCAGGGACAACACTGACGGGTTACCTAGCAACAGCAGGGAGAACTCAGTACAGGTGATGTCAGCACACATGCGCTGTCAATCATTTATCACTAGAAGTACCCCTTCCACAGGCATAGATAATTGTTCACTCCTACGTGGGAGAACATAAACTTACATACAAGAAAGAAAACTGAAGTGACGCTACACAAAATGCCTTAACTATGATGATGATGGGTGCAAAGTAACAAGATTTTACTTTTAGCTGGATTTTGCTTTATGCTGGATTTTGCTTTTTAGATTTTTACAATAATATCCGACCAAAATAGGTGTAAGGGTCTACCCTACTATGTGCTGGGCAAAATATATTGGATACATTCTTAACACATTCAGAACATTCATAATCTACAAGAAAATTTGATGATTTATTCTAACGTTATTGTTCTCCATGTTACACCAGGTTGTAGTGACAGTGCTGGATGAGAATGACAACACCCCAGAACCCTCCACGTCCAAGTTTGACTTCCGTGTGCCAGAAAACCAGCCGGCTGGAGAGTACGTGGGGACCATCCTGGCCAGTGACAGGGATGAAGGGGACAACGGCAGACTGCAGTTCTCCATCATCAAACAGGAGCCAAACCATGGTAGGGCAGACAGACAAAATTTGTAGTCATGGAATCAAAGACACCCTGCAAAATGTGTCAAAGTATCATCACAGATAAATATCGAATGGAAATTTTGGGCCAGGCATGGTAATGGATTATTATTTGTCATCTCTTATGATATGTTGTTATGATTTGTATTATGCTGTACATATATGTATCAGTTGTAGCCGCTACCAACCTTGTTGCTGCCTGGCTACCACTTTTCATGCACTGTTGCATCCCAAAAGACATTGTGTCTTATTATGGAGCTAAAAACTTCTACCAGAATAGATGAACTTTCAAAATATGACTTGGTATCTTTTGATCGTATGATAAGTGATGACCTCTCACATGCTGATAGAAATATTTGTGTTGGCGAAATATCTGATAATAGGTGACATGTCTATTGGTTAGGTAGCAATTTACACCTGGGTGGAGTGAGGGAAATCATGTGAAGGTAACGTTAATAGTTTCCACAGTGTCATGAACAGCAATATCAGGAATCAACCCCACAACCTCTTGATTGCAAGAACTACATTTACCACTCAGAACATGTTTATTGTGTTTCTCCACAGTGATGTTGTTTGAGGTAGAGAACAGTACAGGAGTGATTTCTTCAGCCAGGCTTCTGGACAGAGAGACTATGGGGTACAATGGCATTGTGGAGCTTACCATACAGGTGAATGGAACATTTCAAACATTTTGGAATGTGCATCATTTGTTCACTTATAAATCACCGAGTGGATAAAAGCTTAAGTAAACTCAAACTAATTTTTGAGAGAGTCTACCACCCTTTCTTATTGTTAGGTATATGCAGATGTTTCTGATCTAATAGATAGTTCTAATGAACCTAACTAACCTGTTGTATATTTTAGATATCTGATCTGGGTACTCCTCCGAAGATGACAAGGACAAAGGCAGTTATAAAGATCCTGGACAGCAATGATAACAGCCCATACTTCCAGCAGTCTTCCTACAGCCTGGCTGTGAGTGAGGATGAGTATGGGGGAACCTCGGTAAGTACTTTGCTGTGAACAGACGGCATTTCAGCACCAAGGACAGGCATACAATATGAAATAGCATCATAACCAGGGAGTAAGAACAGTCTGTTTTTGACAGTTGTTTTCCTTTCCAAATTCAACAACAAAGCTTTTGTTTTGCTATCTTGTCATTACAATAATAAAGAGTTGGATCTTGTAAATTTATATTGAGAGCAGGTCACATATGGAATATCAGCATTCTATACAAATAAGTACAAAAGTAATATTGGACATTGGACAGTCTGTTTCATCACAGGTATTTTGCCTTGCAAGTGTAACAACACAACCTTCATTTTGCTGTGTTCCTGCTCCCAACTTCTGTTTCAGCACCAAGGACAGACATGTGCTGTACAACCATACACTACTATCTTTGATTTGACTGTTTCTCAATTTACCACACACAGATCCTGGGTCTAGTTGCCCTGGACAATGATGAGGAGAACGTGCTGACTTATGCCATCACTGATGGAAATGATGATGGAGACTTTGCAATAGGAGGTACAATCTACTACTTGATTTCTACATTCCACGATTTGACAGAACCTTGTTCCGAAGGATGGACATTTTGCTGTCTTGACACAAGATTTGAATTAGGTCGAATCATGCCCGGAACTGAGCATGGACTTACCGAGATGATATCTAAACAAAATCTGAGGCTGGGAAAAAACCTCAAGATTTCATTCTGAATTCAACTGTCACAATTTTGAAAATGTTATTTCATCCAGCAATGAAAATACATACACCGAAAAATAAAATGACAATGGAATAACAAATACTATCTCAGGATAGAATATGAATCACAGTATACCACACTGAATATTGAAATGACAAGTTACCAATATTTTTTTGTGGGTGGATTTCAGCATCCACTGGTCATGTGATAGTAGCCAAGTCGCTGGACTATGAGACCAGGCCTGCATACACCCTGACTGTCACGGCGTACGACCAGGACGGGAGAAACGGTTCCACCACACTCCTGGTCGAGATTCTAGACGTGAATGACAACCCTCCTGTCTTCCTACAAGACATCTACAAGGTGAAAGTGATGGAGGATGTACCACCTGGTAAGTAAATTATCTTTTTTATTAGTTCTTAAGCAAGAAGAGATGGGAAAAGAAACAGAGGCAGACCTAAAATCACCTGGAGAAGAACTGTGACTGGTGACCTGGCAGACTATGGGACTATCCTGGCAATCAGTAAAGAAGGTGGCCAAGGACAGACCTAGATGAAAGGAAAGAGGTTTTTCATTTTGAAATAAAGGCTAAGCTTTAACTTCCAACACCTAGGTTACAGAATTGGGACTTACCGAGATTTACCCAAACCCAGACTTACCCAAAGTTAAAGCTTAGCCTTTATTTAATAATGACTTGTACCAACACAGATTAACTTTCATGCTAGGTTTTTCATTTATTTATTTTCAACAGGGAATCAATATTTACAGAAAGGAGAAAAAGAGGAAACAAAATGTTTCAATAACTATTGATGACCATGTGTTCCCCCAGGTGCTCTGGTAGGACAGGTGAAGGCCACAGATGCTGACCACCTGACCCAGAACAAGAAAGTTCTGTATCACCTCATTTCTGGAAATGTTGACGACACATTCAGGTGGGTGGACCAGCCATGCTGTTTTTTCAGCTGCTATGAAATTTGTCTGAAAGTTCAGAAGATGAAAAAACGTTTAAAAATGCCCTCTGCAGTATCTTTAGAAAAAGCCAGGTGGACCATTTTTGACCTTGACCTTTGTTTTCATAACAGCTACTTAAATACCAAATGTCAATAAGATCCATCCACAACTACTCAAGTTATGACTTTGACATCTACCACACCACAGCCACTCCACCGGTACCATGGCCAACCCGAAAACATACCCTTGTGACGAAGGCAAATATAGTCACGTAGATGAAAGGTGGACCTGTGGGATTTGGTCTTGCTAGCAGTACTTGGCAAAACATTAAACTGTGTCTTCACTTCAAGTGGGCCAAGACAGTACAAAAAGAAATTCATCTATGTGACTTTAAATTACAGGATAGAGACAGAGTCAGGTGAAGTCTTCACCCAAGTGGCAGTAGACAGAGAGACCCTGTCACTGTATCAGCTGACTATCCAGGCCACCAACCCTAGTGGTGACTCACAGGGCACCAACGGCACCACACAGGTCATAACTCAGGTGAACCTGGCTTCTTAGTTGTAATATACATGTCATATATGGATTTAAAGTGCATATTATAGAGCTGATAGATTCACAATACATGAATGATCATCAGATTCTTGGCAACTTGTGTGACAACCAGTATTAGATTAAGCTAATCTACATTGTATGATTCCAACACATTTCCTACTGTTGCTGAAGTTGTGTGAGGAGTTTGGGAACATATTGTCTTGTATGAAATGTGGAGTTTAGTTGCAATTTATTTTACTCACCTTGTTTTTACTTTGCCCGATAGCGTCACCTAAATTGATCCTCATGTAGTGTATTGGATACATGTAAATTCCTGTCATAGAAGTGTATGTCATCTGTGTCATAACTCTTCCAGCAGTGTTCTAGTTACATTGTCACTAAAGGCTTGCTACTAGATTAGTTCTGCTCCATGGCTTGTCACTGTGCTTGACCCTGTCTTTCACACTTCCCAACCTTCCACATAGCTTCTTCCATGGAAGTCGACTCAGGTAATTTGGGGACAACTATACCATCCTGTTTTCTATGGCTGCACCACGTATTCCATTTTCCACTATCTTATTGGACTAGAAAATGCTACATGTGGTATTGAAGATGAAGTAGGAAATATGTCCTGATTGTTCAAAAAATGTAGAGCTAATCCTTAACTGTGAAAATTTGAGTAGCATACTTCTGCACCTACATTTTCACTGCACAATTGTCAACTTCGTAGCAGTCTTCAAAAAGAAAAACTAGTACTGCACTCATTTGTTTTACTGATTTTACGCTGAATTAGAAGCACTTGTCAAATGCATGCCAATCCATAAGGTTATAATAATGTAACAGATATAAGTGAAAAGCAACAAAGTTATTTCCAGCATTTCTCAATGCCTTCTCAGTCTTAGAAGCACATTGGATTAAGTTTTTTTTTCAAGTTGCATAATTTTATTGAAAGGTTTCCTTTCCTTTTCCCTCTAAGATGATTATCACCATTGCTGATGTGAACGACATTGCTCCAGTGTTTGATGAAGATGAATATGCACGACCTATCCTGGAGAATGAACCAATAGGAACATCCATACTGTATGTGCACGCTCAGGACAATGACCTTGGCAACAACTCAAGGTTATCCTACTCCATCGCAGAAGGAAACATCGGTAGTAAGTAGATTGTGTGCATTTCAAACAAACTCATTTTCTTATGTTTTATTAAAGATGACAATGTTTATTCCTGAAATATTTAAATATTAAATATTTGATATTTTTTTGAGGTTTGATATATTTATCTGTCATACTCAAAAGTACATCTGGAACAGACATGTTTGTAATTGTACAATGAATCTTTTCCAGATTCCTTCAGAATCGATGAGGAATCCGGATTGCTTACGGTTAACACTGTACTGAGTGAGAAAGCTCGGCTGATCAATGAATACCGACTGGAAGTAGTAGCCACAGACCACGGCACCCCTCGTCTCCAAGGCAGAACCCTGGTGCTACTGACTGTGGTGGATGTAAATGACAAGAAACCACGGTTCATCAGGCCAAGTAGGAATATGACTGTGTCTATACCAGAGGTAAGGACTTGGTGGCAACTCTTTGTGGCAACTGTTGTATGATGATGAACAGTACCAGCATGCCTGAGCATCATCACACATGGTGATTACATCATCACCCGGACAGAGGCGTGGCGAACCCCGTCTTGTATTAAGCTAACGAAAGGGTATGTCACCTCGTAAGGGGTGGTATAACCCCGACCAATACGGTCGACCAATGATGATGATGATGACCAGCATGCCTGCAGAAAGGCAGCTCAGTATCTTTGCCATCTAGTAATTTTTTTCAAAGCTCAATGACATTGGAAAAGATAAATTATTGCGCACAAAACCCCATGACTTGATGTATATTATCTGGGGATAAGTTGTTGAAAAGTTTTCCTGGTACCATCTTTAAAGTGAACTCCCTAACTTTTGTGTTAGACTTATGCCACTGTTTGACTAGAACTGTGTGTGGATGGCATTCAGCACCAAGGACAGGCATGTTTTTTGTGTATGGATGATGTTGACTACCAGAAGTAGGTTACTCCATAATATCAAGGTTTGATTGTTGTGAGTGAGTGAGTGAGTGAGTGAGTGAGTGATGAATTTGCAACATTTGTTGAATCAAGAGCAGAATTAGAAAGAATGTTTTACAGCACAGCAACTGATATAAACTAAACTCACTGTGATGTTTATTCTTTTCCCCTCAGAATTCTCCCTCTGGCCACTTTGTCTATCAAGCCTTCGCAGTGGATGAAGACACAGGAATTAACGGGATCGTCAGCTATGACTTCTTCATCCCTAACGGGAGGGAGAGGGGAGGGGACTGGGAGAAGTTTACCATCGATCCATTCACGGGAAACATCACGACAGTAGAGCCGTTAGACAGGGAGCATCAGGCTGAATACACGGTGAGACTCTGGTGTTAAAATGTCTGTACAATACTCAATATGTCAGCAGTAATAATATAATGCTTATCATATGTTTGAATTTTTCAAAATTAGGTAGTTCTTTTGACAGAAATATGATTTTGCAATATGACTTTGCAGGTTGTTTACTTTGTCTAAAAGAAAGATACAACAAGACCTGATTTTCCTGGATGATTCTAGGAATTCCTTCTTATTCTACTTCATTATTTACTTTCTTTTCCCCAGCTTATAATTGTAGCCAGAGACCAGGGCCTTCCTGAGCCGTTTGAATCCACCAGGCCTTTCCGAGTGGAGGTAGAGGATGTCAATGACAATGAGCCAGAATTTCCCAGGGATGGGGTGAGTTATGTTTCATTTTATGTGCTTTATAATAAAAACAATGACTTGAGAGAAAAAGAACAAGATAACAGTCAAAGATGAATCTTTACTGAACACTGTAGTTGGCAAGAGGTGATACTTGGAATCACTACAGTTAGTAGACATAATTGTGACCTGGTCTCATACCGTAGTTGATAAATGAGTGCTTTCTTGGACTCATATAGTAGTTTATTGTCTTCCCAGTCAGGCATGGTGTACCTGCAGACCCTGTCAGTACCAGAACATGCTGAGGTAGGGACTGAGGTGGGGAGGGTTACAGAGGCAATAGACAAAGATGAGGGAGACAATGCCATTGTCTTCTACTTCATCACAGGTGAGAGATTTACTATAAGAATATTACATGCATATCACCTGTCAGCTATATTTCATACACTATTTTCTTCAGAGAAAATAATGTCTTACAGGTACATGTGAGGCCTTTGAAAGCTGTACCATGAAATGAATTTGTTGTCAAGCTGTGTTTTCTCAGTCTTATTTCCAATGTCTTTCTTTAGGAGGGAATGAAGGGAAGTTCTTCCTGCTGGATAAGGAGACAGGGATCCTGTCTGTGCACAGGGATCTGGACAGGGAGACCAAACCTGTCCACACACTACTCATCAAGGTACAGGAATCTTACACTGAACTGTTGTCTCACTTTTGGGTAGGGCTGTCTTGGTTTCCCAGGTTGATACCCTGTCCTTGGTGCTGAATGATATTCACATGGACACAATTGTTCCTGTCCTTAGTGCTGAATGACATTCACACTAACCCTATTGTCCCTGCCCTTGGTGCTAAATGACATTTGTTGTCCCTGTCCTTGGTGCTGAATAACATTCACACATACACTATTGTTTCTGTCCTTGGTGCTGAATGATATGTTTTATTGTTCCTGTCCTTGGTGCTGAATGACATTCACTCTGACACTATTGGAAGGAGAGAGATGGGCTCTGCGTTCCAATGCCATGCCAATTCCTAGACACAGTGGATTAACAAACTACTGCCCCTACGGTCTCAACAAGGCTATGGGACTACCTTTAACTGTTTTTGATATTGCTTGACTTTATCATTGTTACCATGCCTGTCCTGCCATAGGCCACCAGTGATGCAGATTATGAGGTGCCCAGACAGAGGAGGAGGGTTATCGACGTGTCTGACTCCTCCCTACAGCAGCTGGTGATCGAGGTGGAGGACATCAACGATCAGCCGCCCAGGTTCACACGCAAACAGTACACAGCAGGTACAACAACACACAGGAGCTCTCATCTCTTTGTGTTCACTAGACGGCTTTAAAGGTTGCAAAGGTTGGGTGTAACAGGTTGTTTAGTGTAACACTGGACAAAATAGGTTGGGATACATTGATATCCAGGCCGCTCTCTTGCTGTGTTCTTTAAGAATATGAGCATACGAGTGGATGTGACTGGAATCTGATTGTATATGATATGAGTTGGATATGATTGTATCCGAAGCTATTTTGTCCAGTGTAGTTTATGTTGTTATAAGACTTCACACTGGCAATAGCATTTTAAATGATTCATATATCCCTTCTATTAACATATTAATATACTAAGATGTATACTATGATTTTGAAAAATTAATTTTTAGATTTTATGGATTTATAATTATTTCTTTTTCTCATACAGGAGTTACTGTTGATGCAAAATATGGATCTGAACTAATCCAGGTTGAGGTAAGTAGTTTAGCAGAAAACTGTAATCAACCGAGAAATTTTAAAATCTTTGTTGCAAAAAACCCTTCTACCCTGCAACCATTCTACCTAATGTCCTTATATTTTCCAGGCCATAGATGCAGATATAGGAAACAACAGTGTTGTGTACTACTACATAGAATCCACCACCTACATAGAACAGGGGAAGCAGCCCAAGCCAATGAAGAAGACGTTTCAGTTAGGAGTTCTGAGTGGAGTATTGACCACCAATGAACTGTTTGTGGATTACACAAAAGGATACTTCGAGCTGATAGTCAGGGCTGAGGATGATGCTAAACATACCGACAAATCAAAAATAGGGGTGAGAAAACTCTTGTATCCTATACTTTACTAACCTGATGGTTATTTTCGGAAGGGGTGAGTTCTGAGTTACATTCTTGATGTTTGGACTTTTGATCTGATCGTAGTCCTTTGATTTTCATCAGCTCTGGTACTGGATATATCAGCACCGTCCAATGGCCGAGTGGCTAGGCTATCAAACACCAGATTTGGTTCATGGGTCACGGGTTTGATTCCTGGAATTTCTCGCAAGAGGTTATGTCCTTAGGAAAGGCCCTTTCCTCACTCTACCCAGGTATAAATTGGATACCTGATTTTGGTTTGTGAGGCACATTGTAAACGCAGTTGTAGGAGAGAGCCTCTACAGCCTAAAAAAGGCTATGGAACTATGGATATGTGAATAAAATGTATTGCCGGTACATGTACATGCAATTATATTTCAAGCACACAGCTAAGAAATGATATCTGTCCAAGATGAATGTATTTTTCCCTCCCACAGGTGTATGTGCTGCGGGATGAACACAGAGTGAAGGTAGTCATCAACGACATTCCTGACTATGTACGGACATTCAGGGAGGCCTTCATCGCGTAAGGCGCTTGTTAATTGTTGCATAATTATGGGTTCACCACACCACGAAGTGGTGGTGAACCCATATTGCTTTTTCTGATGTTTCTTCTCCTCCTCCTTCTCCTCCTCCTTCTCCTCCTCCTTTAAATGGATTCAGCTTCTTCATTTTAGGGCCTAAGGTCCTGAAATTTGGTATGGAGGTACAGTGGGCAAATACCCCTAGGCGTTTTTTAAATTTTTGTGATACAGGCTTTTAGAATGGTTTTATTTGAGTTTTTTGGCTGTGTTATAGCAAATGTATTACTGTGTTAGTGGATAGTGTTTACCACGTCTGGGCATGAGTCATCACAATGGAATGCAGGGCATCAACCAATAGGCATGCAGCTTTCCTCTATACTTCTTGCTGATTGGCTGTTGAGATTTAACTTGATTAACTGACAGTATGTCTTTATTCAAGTGTTTTGGTAGGTATTTCAAGCTTTTCTTCTCCAGCAATGGAATGCGGGGCATGAACGTTTTTTATTTTATTTTGAAAATCAACAGTTTGCATTATGCAATTAAAAATCCTAACCAATAAAGTAGGGAATAGCTATCCAACTGTTGTTTTAGTTGTATGTTACTTCATATTATAGTTATATCAATGTAATTTACTAAATCATTGTTTTCCCTTGTGTTTCTCATTCTTTCCCTGCCATGTGGTAAAATGTGGTGAACCCATCGCTGTATTTGCTCCAAAGCAAATATTGGCCTTTCTAGTTATAAATAATTTTATTTGCATGATTGAAACAGCAGAAGCCAACCATCTGATTGATTAATGTTTTGCCATATGCTACTGTTAGTCATCAACTGAATCAATAAGTGCATTTTGATACATTTAATACACTTTGAAGATTGTACAAACGGAAGATAATATCTGAGAGTCACTAAAAGTCCCTGCAGACAAGATAGATGCTCTATGGATGTCTGATCTTCACTGACATATGGAGGATTTGTTTCTGTTTTCTTACGTCTACTTCTTCTCTCTTACCTGATACTCATTTACTAACTTTTCCATTCCCTCCTAAACCACACACCAGTCAACTGAGTCAGATCACGTAAGTGTAGCTTGTACTTCCTTGAGCCTATACCTTACTTTCTTTGTCTTGGTCCTGCCTTGAACTCCAGTAGATAAGATCAATTTTCTAATGTATTTGATTGTCAAATTCAGTTTTACATGTGGGTTTGATCCATATCCTTCTAAACAATTACATTTTGTATTGCTTTTTCACTGTATCTGAAGATAATAATGTACACAAAGTACCTCTTATGATTAGAGAGTAACAAGATGTTTATTCAGTGACTTACCAACCTGATGAAACTATTCATGGACATGTTGACACTATTTAGGTTACTAGATTGTGTTGACCCATGACCCCACTAGAAGTCACCCTGTGAGCGGCCCTTTGTCCGCCATTGTACGTTCTCTGCGAGTGTTGCATTAAACATCTCTGCTCCTACATCGCAACCGTTGTTATCGTTGAGTCGTCAACTACGTGTCTCCTTAATGACGGAGACATTACAAGCAAAAGCCACATCAACATTTTCTTTTTAATGACAGGTTTGCTTCCAACATCACTGGTGCTGTGGTGAACATGGATGATATACAGTACCATGTGGATGAGGGAGAGATTGACTTCACAAAGTCAGTTCCTTTTACCTGCAATGTTCATCCATGTATTGTAGAAAATACTTACCTCTTGCTAAGCATAATACATACACAGGAGTATAAGAGGAAGGGATTCTGAAGTAGTTCCTCTCATTGTGTTATCTACGTTTTCTGTGCAGTTAATTTCTCCCTATTTTCAAGGAAAGTATTTCAGTACCGAGGAAAGCATTTCAGTACCAAGGAAAGCATTTCAGTACAGAGGAAAGCATTTCAGTACCGAGGAAAGCATTTCAGTACCGGGGAAAGCATTTCAGTACCGAGGAAAGCATTTCAGTACCAAGGAAAGCATTTCAGTACCAAGGAAAGCATTTCAGTACCAAGGAAAGCATTTCAGTACCAAGGAAAGCATTTCAGTTCCAAGGAAAGCATTTCAGTACCATGGACAGCATTTCAGTACCAAGGAAAGCATTTCAGTACCAAGGAAAGCATTTCAGTACCAAGGAAAGCATTTCAGTACCAAGAAAAGCATTTCAGTACCAAGGAAAGCATTTCAGTACCAAGAAAAGCATTTCAGTACTAAGGAAAGCATTTCAGTACCAAGGAAAGCATTTCAGTACTAAGGAAAGCATTTCAGTACAGAGGAAAGCATTTCAGTACCAAGGAAAGCATTTCAGTACCGAGGAAAGCATTTCAGTACCAAGGAAAGTAGTACAAGTAATAAGACTGCAGAGTAGATGGCGTTTCAGCACCATGAAGAATTGTTTAGATATTTCCACTTAGAAACTCATTATTCCACTGAATTGTATGTAGGCCTATTGTGTTGCAATATGGTGATGCTTAGTAGTTGACCAACGAGCCTCATACTGGTGATCAATTTAAAATGATGGCTTCTGATTGGTCAATGTTGTGCGGCTGTATGATGATAGAGATGATGATCTTATTTTGCAGGACTGACATGTTGATCCACGTGGTGAACACAAAAACAAACAAGATTATGGATGTGGATAACGTCATAACGTAAGTCAAGCAGAGTTTACTGAATATAGAAACACAATTTTTTTCCAAAAAATGTAATTATAGAAATACCAGTAAAATACCTATTTGACAGCAAATATTGTAGTGTTGCCATATTAAAATCTGTTGCAGTTGTTAGATTATGATGACAAGATGAGTTTCACACAGAACTTTGCTACATGTAGGAATAGAACTGACCAAATGTATTAGACTAGACCTGCCCCTTGATACTTAGTTTTTAATCACCGTTGAACATTTTTGTACTGATATATGAGTATGTACTTTTCCCAATCTAGGACCATTGATGAAAACTATGACAGCCTAGAAAGACTTTTCAAGGACTTCAACGTGATAGAGGTTTTAGTAAGTCATTCTAGTTCTTTGACACCTTAATGTGTATACATTCATGATTAAAATGTCAAAACACTAAAGAATTGATACTTTGTCAAACAAATTTTAGTTGCAATGATTTAAATTCCTGTTTTTGGACAAAGGGTAATATTATCTGTACTGTGATTCATAATCTTTATTAGTGTCTGAGCAAATGGAAGAAAACGAAGAACAACAGTTACTGTGTCTTTAACACAAATAATCAAATCCTGCCCTGTCTTAATAGAACAATTTTCCCGTCTTTAGGTGAACGTTAGATCCATTCTACAACTGCAACTTCCTTGAACGTATTTTGAACTGTTTTCTGCAGCCTTTCGTTCCCCCGAGGACCGACAAGGACAACATTGACATTGTGAGGATCCTTCTGATCCTGATTGGGGTTGTCATCTTCTTTGGAGCCTGGATCTTCATCTGTCTCATGCTCAGATACAAGAGGCTGTGAGTGCACCTGGAACACACAAATTTTCTTCTCCAACAATTCAAGATAATTAAAGTCAAGAAGATGTGTGTGTCATTACTGCCTCTGTTCATTTCAAAGCCACTTACGTGGGGTTGCCTGGCGTAATGGCAGAGCATTCGGCTCAGAACCAAGAGGTCCCGGGTTCGAATCCTGCCAAGTCACCAACCTTCTCCATTACTTACCTCACTTCATTCAGGTGAAAATGAGTATGCCAGAATAATCATTATCATGATCGTGGGCAATAAAGGAAGACTGGGTTGCTTTCTTCCTGAGAGCGTCTTTTTACAACAAGGGCCTGAAAAAATATTATGTCATAATACACATGTATTAGTGATCTAATGGTTAAGTACAATGTGTCTTTCCTTTGTACTCCAGGTACAAACGAAATGTGCGAGCAGCAATTGCAGGAAGTATAGGTAAGGTTCATATATATATATATAAGAAACATACCCCATGTTTACAGCCATTGGGAAACCTGCCTGGCACAAGTGGAAAGTACATGTCTTGATTCCCCAAGATGTACCTGGCATTCTGATCTATCATTCTTGCTGTTACACAATTTATTACCTAGGTTGTAAGACATATTATGTACAACTGTGCAGATGGAGGTTAAAAAAGAGACTTGGTCTCACTGACACTGTGTGGATGAAGGTACTTCTTTCCTTCTCAGCACAGTTTTCAGGGTTAAGGTTTTTGCCGTCTCCTTCTAAATCTGTGCCTGTCTCCTTCTGTCTCTTCCTGTCTGTGCTCCCCCTCCAGCTGGTGCACAAGTCATACAGAACCCCAACCCTGCCGCCACCCCCGTCACCAGTCACCAGGAGACAACCCACCCGGGGGGCGGGGCAGGGGGCGCACCCCCGCCTGCGGGAGGAGCGGCCGACCCGCGGTACTCTCAGATGATGGGTGAATATCTTCTCTTACTCTTCCTGTACTGTCCACTCCACCTGCATCCTGTTAACTCATTTTCTTTTCTTTCGTACTTTGAGTAAAAATGTCTATAGCATACATAGACTCGTAGATTAAAATTAAAGCTCCAGCTATAAAATAGTGTTGAAGAGGAGGGTTTCATATATAAATGGTAGTCAGTAGCCCAATGATGAAAGTAGTGGACTTGTACATATGTAGAACCTAGTCTGAAACTTGGCCCCTGACAATTGTAAGGATTTATTAATAAATGAAACAGGCCTAGTTTGAAAATTGGCATTTTGAAAGACGGTCTAAATTGATGCCACGTCTTCCTTGTAGTTTCTTCCCTTTCTTTTCGTAAATCATAAGCTATTCCCCCTCCCAACCTGGTAAATAAAACACCTGAAACATCCTCCAGTACCCCAAATAACAAAACTATCGACCAATTTTTCTTTTTGTTTTCTCCTGTCCCGTCTCCTTCTGGATACCCAGGATATATGGAACCCCCCTCTGCATATATGGATGGCTATGAGGAAGGCTGGTGCTGATCAGGTGACCGACTTTACATAGCCAGCAAAAACAATGGTCGTGAAGACGTCTTGGAGACATCTGCCAAGGCATGTTTGCTCCATGTTTATGTCTTAACAGCTGTTTTATGTCTGCAGCTGTTCCTTGTCTGTGACTTTTAGTGTTTTCTGTTCCCAAAAGTAGGAGGCACATCTGTCTGTTGAATCCTTTGAGGAAGGTCGTGATTTTTAGTATGTAGCTGTTTGGAAAAGTGTATTGTTGTGAACCCTTTAGGCTAGTACCTTTGTGCATGAAATATTTCTTTCTATTGAGTTTGGAGTTCAGGATACTGTGAATTGTCTTATTAAAGTTAACAGTTATTCTGTATCCCATTCGATATCTTTTGAGGATTAAATTTAGTCCAGTTTTAGACTTAAAAATTTGCAATAGGGTACAGATTTTGTTATTGCTGGCTATGCAATGTAGGTATTAACACCAAGAAATGTGTAAATTAAAAGCCATTCAGCTTCACAGAAACTAAAAAGAATTTAGTCCAGTGTCATGCATTATACTTGTCAGTGCATCAATGAAAGACCTGGATGGAACATTTTCATCAATTTAGCTCAGTAGCTCCATTTAATAACCTTAAAATGGCACCGTTACCTGAATGTCAATAGGCAATGCAAATGTCCAGCACCTTCAGGGAAAATCACTTTCCTTTTTTTTCTTGATTCTTAATTAATTTTCATTTTTAAGTCTCTCTGTCATTTCTACCTTGAAGTTAATCTTCTATGGAGAGCTGGGCCATCCGCCATGATGTGTACATGTTGATGTTACAACTTGGTGTGTTGATCTACATTTGTAAGTGTGTAAGACTATGTAGGTGTACAATACTGCAGTGTTGATATGTCTCTACAGGTTCTGGTGTTGGTATGGAGATGTTTGATGTGCCAAACACAAACAAGTACTCGTTTGAAGGGTGAGTACAAATGTCAAAACTTTCCTTGAAGATAAGTCTGTTGCAGTTGACAAGAAATAACCTTTATGTTGCCTGAAATGTTAAGTACTACAGTAACTGTACATTCATTAAGTGCAATCCTGGTTCAGCTATCATGACAAAAGTGATTAATCTACTTTTACCAAATTTTTATCAAATTAAAGTTTGAAGGAACTGATATTCTACTGCTGGATTTGATTTTTGGAACATTTAGGACAATTTTGGGTCAAGTGTAAAGACGAACCTTGCTTTGGTGACACATTTGATAAATATGTGCATTTTCCATTTTTGTTCCAGGGCAAATCCAATATGGTTGGACCCTTACTACAGGTAAGACATTTAGACTTTCTGTATGACTGAAATTATAGATTAAAAATAACAGCCATTATAGATATCTACTGTTACGGTAGTAATATCTATAGATATAACAAGAGTATTTCTGTTGTTTGTAGCCAATTTGCCGAGTTCCACGAGCCAACAGAGATTCCTGTGGTTCTGGAGGATGGATTCACCATCGAAGGTGACGAGTACGAAACACAGGTGGGTTGTCTTGTCATAAATACAGAAATCATGCAATAACTGGACTTTGATGTGATGTCATTTTATGGTCTGATATTTTCCTGTACTATTGTTGTTGTTGAGGAATAATAACTCACAGTTGCGTTCCACAAAGATGGACATCCGTGGTGGTCCTTCGACAATCATTTCCTAAATAGGCTTTCACATCTAAGTGACACAACCAGCAAGAGATTGACCAGCTCCTGAATGCTTCAACCGCAGACACAATATTTAAAGATTTTCTTGTCTACAGCAGCAGGACAGTTACTGGAATATTGGGATAGGGATAGTGGTCAGGAACAAAACGTCAGCTCGACCATTGTCAGTGATTCTAACCCTCATAATCTAGATAACTAGAAGCCTTGCATATTTTTATCCCAGTCTTCCCTTGTTTCTTGCTTATTCAAAGAAAGCAAACTGTAAACAATTTTTCCTGCTGACCCCTAATGCATCCCCGTTGTTTTATTTGCAGACTAGGCTATAATGGTTAACCCCATTGTTCCCCACGAGTGGTCCCAGCAGGGAGATTAGGAAGGTAACCACCCTGGTACACTGCTGCTGCTCTAACTCACTGTCTACTTCCTCCATCTCTCAGCAGTCTCATCTTACTCTCAAACTTTGTCTCCTCATAAATCTACTGTAACATACACTGCTCACTTTTGCTGCCAATAAAAGCTCCATAGAAATGCTGTGACTTACTCGTACACTCTTACCGGTTGTTGCCTAGTCTCTACTTCAATATACTAGTTCATCAACAAAACTATTAACCGTTAAACTTTTTAAATTCTTCAATAGGCTTCCAACTGTACTGTTAACTTTTTTCTTGAGCTATTGTTTTTACAAAACGGCAGTTGGGATATTTTTTTCAATCTCTCCTAAAAATTAAGTTTGATGTAATTATATGATGTGGTAATACGAATTTGCTACGGTCTTCTTGTTCCCAATTTTTCATTAAAAATGTTTTAAGAATTGTTAAGAGTGCCTCGAATGTTGTATAGATACATGTATCAAAGCTTCTGCAGATGAGTTTATTCTGAGCTTTAACAGGGGGTTTTCTAACTGATTTTTATGTTTATTCTCTTGCCTTCTCATCCCTCATCTTTCAAACAAGTTTTTGCCTTGATACATTATTTTCATACCATCACAGGAAGTGAGTATGGAGATTCACGGAGACCAAGAAGACGAGAGCCCCAAGAAGGGCTCCCATAGTTCTGACGCCATCCTCAAAAGTGTCCTCAACGATCACTGGCCAAACAACAACTCCTCGCAGGGTGACCGAGCGCCCAGACCCCCACCCCGGAGAGTGGGCGTTCACTCGGAGAACAACAACAACTCCAACAAGCGGAATGCGGCGTCCACGGAGGGGAGTTTGAAACACGGGATGACGAGAACGACCAGTAGCACGGTGATCGTGAACCCGGCGGTACAGAACTGTCAGGACGCCATCTCGTCTGGCGAGGAGAGCGATGCGGAGAACTCGAGGAGCGGCAGTAGCGGTAGCAGTAGTCAGTCTGGGATGATCAAAGAGAAGGAAGTACACCTGTGGAAAACATGAACCTTGAACAACATGGTCTAGACCATGTAGATGAACTTAACACAACAAAGTTAGAGGGACAGACATGGAACATGAAACTTTGAAAGGACGGCCTTCCATAGTGTTCAAGAGGTGTGGTTGGGAAAGATTTTAGTACATCAATCCACATGGAGAATTTTGTTTTCTAATTCTATGACCAGACCAGAGGCAGTGCAGCTGTACATGTATTTGTCTTCCTTGTAATGGGATTAGGTATCACTTTTTCATGATTTGAAGTCCAATATCATGTTCCAACGTGACGTCACATTCCACCATTCTGATTGATTCAGCCTGAAAGAATTAGACCTAGATTTGCTTGTGGTGTATCATACCAATTCAAACTTACCCGACAGTGTTCAGGTTTAGCCAATCAGAATGGTGGACAATACACAAGTCACAGTCGCGTGAATTCAAAAGTGTTGATAGCTATATCTATGCAAGTACTGAGGCTTGGAGATTATATTCAGACACTGTTTTGACAACATGACATAATTGTTGGTTTAGTACAACAGAAACCCCTAGTATGTTAGATCAATGCAGGTTAAACTCTAGCCCCCTATAAAACTATTAATTCTAAAAGCTGTAGATTTGTAGTCTTTATATCAGAGTTTAATAATAATCATAATACAAGATAATTGTTGTTCTGTATATGTACTATCTTTGAAGTATTCGGGTGCTGATTTTTATAATTGATAATGAATAAGACTCTAAGGAGTTTTGAATCACAATTTTTACGGATTTATTTTTGCGTTCTTCCTGATAACAATAGTCAAGGAATGAAAGGCAAATAGTCAAGGAATGAAAGGCAAAGAAACAATATGGAGCCAGCATGGAAAATATTCTAAAGGTGCCTTTGCAGTGTCATATTTCACTGAAAGACTTAAAGTTAGACGCCGCAGAGACACTTTTGAGTACAAGCCTTAGGTTTATTATTTATGCTGTATCAAGGTCCTAATTTAGCGCCACCCAGTCTCGGGTGAAGGTACTGCAGCCACTGGCCTCACCTTCCATAAAATCCTTTTTCATTGTCATTTTGCCTTTCAATTTGGATAAGGCAACACTGACTTAATTTTATGAATGGCATCCTCAGGTTAATAAAGTTTGGCCAGTTTTAAAAAAGAAATACTTGAATTGAATGAATTTAATTTTTTCCTCCTTAAAATGTCATAAACTGTGTGGTAGAACTATATTGAAGTTTTGGCGGTAACGTTACACATATCGCCGATCTCGTCGTGTTTTTAAGACAAAAATGCGGATTTCCCGACCTGGTGAATTTTGGAGAAGACAAGAAAATGATATTATTAAAGTACAAAATATGCATGTACACCCCTTTCTTTTCAAAGACACACGGCGACAGTTGACATCTTCTAGATCTTTGTAGAAATCTTAGTTTTTCCACAATAATACTTTTTCTAATGGCTGGTATTAGCAACGTGCATGGCCATTCTACGCTCTCCACCTGTTTCACGGGATGCACTTGACCGCAACACGGTCCTAAGTTAGCGCCGCCCAGTGACAGCTGAAAGTACTGCAGCTATTGGCCTCAAATCCCGCCGCCATAATCGGGCTGCCCTTGACCGTAACACGGTGTCAATTTAGCGCCGCCCAGTGGCGGTTCAGGGTACTGCAGCCGCTGGCCTCATCTCCCACGATCGGGTTGCATTTGACCGTGACATGGTCCGAATTTAGTGCCGCCCAGTGGCGGTTCAGGGTACTGCAGCCGCTGGCCTCATCTCCTGTCACAATCGAGCTGCATCTGACCGTGACATTGTCCTTATTTAGCGCCGCACAGTGACATGTCGGTAGTGTATTCTTGTTACGTAATGTGATTTTCTTCATTCAAAGCTTGTATAATCATCGATATCTCATAAACTCAGGCTTTATTTAGCTGCTAGACCAGTTTCTCCTGAAACCTTTCGCACAGTCTTATCAAGGTCAGAATTGCTGATTCCGTACGACGGCTGCAGTACCTTCAACCGCCACTGTGCGGCGCTAAATCAGGACCGTGTCACGGTCAAGTGCAGTCCGATTGTGACAGTTGGATATGAGGCCAGCGGCTGCAGTACTTTCAGCCGACACTGGGCGGCGCTAAAAGACCACCGTGTCAGAGTCATGTAAAAATGGTGGTTTGCTTCGGCGGGAATGCTTCTTATTTTTGTAACTTTACAACTTTCCAGGTACTTTTAAACGTTTTGTCCTTAGAATGTCTTTCTAAGTTATGTGGTAGAACTATGGGAAGTTTTCGCAGCATATCTATTGCCATTCACGCGGTGTTTGGAGGAGAAAATGCGGGTTTCTTGACCTGGAGAATTTTGGGGAAGAAAACAAAATGGCGAAATACATTGGAAAGTGTGTGGTTTGGAGATAGCTTCGCTTTTTCGTACAGGTAATCAACAAACTATTTGACAATATTCCATAGCAACAAGGGTAAGAAAACGTCGTGAGTTCATATTTGTGAAAAGGACTACGGTAACATAAACTTTCTTTTGTTTTTCTCGGCGTGGTTATAACCACCTGTTGGAATGTGCACGTGTGCGTAATGATTTTCCCTCCCAAACCTCGCGTAAACAAGGTTGGAAGTTTCAAATCGTCGAAATACAAGGCATAAAAACGTTTTGAAATTTCGTAATTTTTGTAAACGTGTGATAGAAATACTTGGTGAAGGTTTGTTGAAGGTGTCTTCTTAATTAAATTAAAAGCTTTTTGGACAGGACCGATTCAACACCTGTGTATAATAAGCACGTGGTGCATGGTTCATTCAAAATGGCGCTTTGGTACGGCGGGAATGTTCTGGGTTGTTAATTTTGTGCAACTTTTCGGGTACTTTTTCGAGTTTTTGTCGGCAGAATGTCTCTCTAAACTGTGCGGTGGAACTATGGAAGTTTTAGAAGTAGATTAATTGCCGTTCTCGTGGTGTTTTTAGGAGAAAATGCGGATTTCTGACCTGGTGGATGTTTGGCAAGACAACAAAATGGCGAACAATTGCGTGGTTTGGAGACGACGTCGCTTTTTCGTTCAGGTAAACAACAAACTACTCGGCAGACATTATTCCATAGCAATAAGGGTAAGAACATATCAAAGTCAACAAGTTATATTCTGTAAAAATGGTGTATTTCTGTAACTTGAGCGACCACTTCTAATTTGAGACCGGCTTTGAAAGAGTCAATTTTGCCGCGTTTTCTTAAACATTTTCCGTGCATTGTGTATGTTAAATGTATGTATAGGTCTTATTGGTCAATTATACAACATTGTAAGTTCATATTTGTCAAAAGCAATAGTATACGATAACATAAATTGCGTTTTGTTTTTCTCGGCGTGGTTCAGAGCACCTGTTGGCATGTGCACGTGTGCATAATTAAATCCCTCTGGTGTTCCCTCCCAAACCTCGCGTAAATAACGTTAAGGGTGGAAACTCAAAGGTTCAAATCGAAATAAACACGTCATAAAATTTGTTAACTTCATTCTGTAATTTTTTGTAAACGTTTAATAGAAAGACTGAGTTAACCGTTTTGGTAGATGGAGCTGTCTTTGTAATTAAATTAGCTTATTGGACAGGGCCGTTTGAACAAGTGTAAAAGCACGCTTTGCATGGTTAGTTAAAAATGGCGGTTTAGTAGTCAGAAAATGTTCTGGGTTGTACATGTTCATGATTTTTGTGAAACTTTTCGGGTACTTTTTCAAGTTTTTGTCGACAGAATGTCTTTGTAACAAGTGGTGGAACGGTGGGAAGTTTTCGAAATCGTTAATTCTCGTTCTCGTGGTGTTTTCAGGAGAAAATGCGGATTTCCTGATCTGGAGAATTTTTGGCAAAGACAAAATGGATCAGAATTGCTTGGTTTGGAGACGACGTTGCTATTTCGTATCGGTAAGTAAGTAACAAACTATTTGGCAGACATTATGTTGAAGAACATGTCATATTCCACAAGAAACGGTGTAGATCTGTAACTTCCGAGGGACCGTTCCTTATCTTCTTCTTCCTTGGGATGCCCACCTTCAAATCAGTGTTGAACATTCTGGCATGTTGAGGAGGTCAGAGGTTTGAGACAGCCTGTCAAAGAGTCAATTTTGCCGCGTTTTCTCGAACGTTTTCCATGTGCGATGTGTGCCAAATATGTGAATCCAGATCTCATTCACCAAGTATACAACGCTGCAAATTCAAATTTGTAATAAAAATAATAATGCACTCATAAAAATAATGCACTCATAAAAACTATCTTTTGTTTTTAAAAACACCTGTTGGAATGTGGACATCTCCAAATTAAATTAAACCCCAAAGTCAAACTGAAATGCCAGTGGTCCAATCATTCTGTGCCTAGTTTATTTGAATTTTGTATTATACAGCTTCAGATGAAGAGCTTTTAGTTTTTAGTAGTCTTGCTTTTAATGTTTTATGTGGTTGCTACTGTCACATTGTTTCATGGTGTTTGTAATGAACAAATGTTTTTAAATATCGACTTTAACCTTTAGGAATGACATGATGATACATACCATGTAAATTATCTAGCCAACAGCATTTTTATTAAATTAATAGAGCCGGAAAACTTTGATTTATTCTTTATGTTGACAGAACTGATAATAACTTGTGACTATCTAATAGATAGTCACAAGTTATAATACTCTTCATAGAATCATGTAGCTGTCTGTTTCCGGAGGGTTAGCTAGCTGTGGTAGTCCTGAGGAGAGGAGACTTGAGTGATGACAGAGGCACCAGAGTAGACCAGGTGAGAAAATTTGGATTCTATATTTTCCCAACCATGTTTGGAGTTGTTTGAAACAAGCATGTAACTTCTAATGTTGTATAGTTAGGTGGCTGCTGACTGATGCAATAGTGATCATGGCTCCTGTCTAAACCTGAGAAGTTTGGACCAGACCAGACTTGGTGATTTTAAGGCTCAAGAGTGAAATGAAGAGTTTGTACAGGTGAGACAATGCTTGACAAATTTTGTTATTTTTGTTTGTTATTTATTAAGAACTCTGTGACACACCAATGACATTAAAAACATTCCTTAGGTTTTAAGAATGTATCAAATTTTTCTTTCGCAATCATTAAATG